AGGCAGCACTGCAAGCTGAGAATGGAAAGTATTCTTGTGTATGACCTGCTAAGACTGGCAGGTTTTATATCAATTAAATGCTCTTTAAATAAAGTCCAGGAAGCTGAGTGAGAAAAATGTTTAACATACACAAAATACAAAGAAAAAGAGTTTTGGCAGTGGTAGGTTTCAAAACCAGGACCTTATGCATGCTAAGCAAGCATTCTACTACTGAGCTATTTCCATCTTCTGCCCCCGAAAATTTTAAACATCAAGAAACATAAACTATAGCTCCAGGAACTGCAAAGCAGGTGTCTAAGTAAGGATTCGGTTAAGCCATCCATAAGTAAGAAGCTAGCAAGCACACCTTGTTCTGAGCCTGGTCTGACTTCCCTACGTTAATACAGCTGTTCTAACAATACTGATGCTGTCTCAATAGCTTTGTCATTTTGGGGGGAGTGGTGGTAGGGAGGGTGCCTTCCAAGACAGCTTGGAGGAAAATCACTGTTACCGCATCTTGATTTTCTCAGCAGAACTAAATGTGTCTGTACTCCTTCCTTCAGACTTGTCTGTAGATCACTTTGTCAATTTCCAAAGACGATGGATGTCAATTGCCTGGAAGATACTCATAATCCCGTGGGAGAAGCACCCGGTAAGGACACTACCTCTTGGTTTTGCTGAGAAGTTAAAATGTGATGTGCTTAGGTAAATGCACTGTTCGCAGCAGTCCTCTGTAGATTAGGATGTTTTAACAAATACTGCAACAGCTGAACCCCAAGTAGAGAAATGACATTTGTACTTATGATACTGTCTTAGGTTTTGTGGGGGAAAAACAAAACAGTAATTTCTTAAAGGCTGTAATACTTCCCAATGTTCCTTTTAACAACCTCATCACGGATAGTGTCCAACATATCCAAAAGTAGAGGGAACAGTGTGACAAGGCTATCATCTACTCATTTAAATGCTGACCCGGCCCTCGTCAATGCCACAGAACTATATTAAAGCAAATCCCAGATGCTTATCATTCCTTCTTTATGTCTAGTGTGTATCTCTGAAAGGTAAGAGATCTTCTGAAAATATAACCATAATATTGTCTCAAATAAAAAGTAAACAGTATCAACTAGTCAGTCAGTCAAGAAATGTATCTGGTGCAAATACAAGAAGACAGTGTCAAGTAAAACATGAGCCTGAAAGAGCCAAAAATCAAAACTAACAAAACAAAACACAAAAAACTAAACTAAAACCCCAAACTGTCCCTGCAATAGAAAGCAAACTGTTCTCTTAAGGCAGAGAACCAGAGGCTTCACTGGGGCCATCCAGAAATGGTACACCAAAGTTGTATCATGTGCACTTGAGTGGTTTTTTTTTTTTTTCCTTAGTTGATAGATTCACTGGAATGTCAAGAAGCCTGAGTCTCAAAACATTTAAAGACTCTGCCTCTGCTTAGGGTCATGTGTGCTTAGTGCCACATCACCTCACATTGCCAGGGAGGATTAGTCAAGTAAGGAAACAAATCCACCTAAAATAACTTAGAGATCAAATGAATTCAACTCAGCATGTACTAGGCACTCACCAAGTGCAAGATACTGAGTTAAACCTTGAGAAACAAAGATCGATTCAGCCTAGCTAATTTTTACTCTAGAACAAGGAGGGGTTAAAAGCAAATTAATAAAAACTAATAGACTGTGATGAGAAAGGGCTTAGTCCATTGTCATGAACGTCCATGACCCTGAAAAAGAGGTAAATTCAGAGAGTGATGGGAGGGGAGCTGGGATCCAGAGGATAGGGAAATTTAGAGGAAGCCAACTGTGGTACAACTGACCTGGGCACATGTCAAACTCATTCACAGGGCAAGACTTTCTTTACCTCCTCGCTGAGTGACAGGAGTTAAGGGTGGTAGCTGGTAGCTGCACTCTCTCACTGCAGAGGGCAGGAAAGGTAAGCACAAAAGGTGGGAGAAGTGATTAGATTTAAGTCAATTCTGAGAGGTGAACAGTCCATCAGTGTGGGCAGAGCCTGGGTGAAGAAGGAAGGGAGGTCATTCCAGGAAGAAAAAAGCAGAGACAAAAGGCTGTAAATTGCTGGCAGGTTAGGGAACAGTGTGGTGGCCTTAGGGCTGGTATGTGGGAAGGGCTGGCTGACTGGAAATGCCCACTGGGATAGGAGCTGGAACTTAACTTTGGAGCCAGTAGAAAGCCAGTAACAGGATGGCTGATCAGTGTTTGCGTTTTTGAATTGAGAGCTCCTTGAGTTAGCTACATGTGGAGAGCTCAGAGAAAAGCAGACTACTTAGGAATCCAGTGAAATAGGCAAGAGAAGGTCTAGAGCGGTAAGAGAAGGAAGTGATGAGATGACATGTACCAGGATATTTCACAATTTCAGAAATGATCAGTTTAAGAAGGTCAATAAGAAAAAGAAGAGAGTGTCATGGAAATTCAACAGTGTGTATGTTCCATTTCTGTAAAAAGACAGTAATGGAAACAGAGTGTTTAGACAGATAAACAAATCTAAGTTCCAATTCTGGCTTTGGCACTTTTCACAGTGGAGTTGTAGGCAAGTTAACTTTCCTTGGTTTCAGTTCCCTTATTTGCATAAATGGGGACAGCATTGGTCAATATCTGGGTTGTTATAACAATGATTAGAATAATCCTATGCAAAGTGTCTGGCATAATATCAAGTACAGACTACTCAATGTGAGAAGTTACTTTTTTATCAGTACAGTTCTTTGACACAAATACATTTCAACATGCTCATTAGCTAATCTTACACCTACATTCAATATTTATGTTGTATAAAACTATCAGTGTAATCCAATAAGCAGTATCGATTAGTTATCTATTCCTAGACATATAAACTGCACACGATTTACCTCTATCTCTATGTGGATGTTAAGTGTTTCTTTGTTTTTAAATGTCACTGACTGTAACTTGACAGAGGTGTCATAAAGCAACAAGAAAATACCTAATAAAGCTGTTATCCTCGAGGAACCCCAGTGAGACAAACAGGTGTGACCTTCAAGTAACCATGGCCCAGATTTGGCACAAGAGATGGAAATACTGGCAGTGAAATACCCAATTCTGCCTGTGCATCTACTGGGAAGATATCATAATAGGTTGAGGTTACTCCACAGTGGCACGTTCTTAGGTGTGTGGGTTCTTTTTTGCATGACACATTATAGATCAATTGCAGTGGTAGTCACAGCGTTCTAAGTGTTACAAAATATCGGTCACTCTCAAAAGCCCTTCTACTCTTTCGAACAGTCACATCATTATTAAAGCATCACCAAACAAAAGTTTCTTTGTCATACATTGAGATGAATAATTTCAAACCATTTTCATGGGAGATCTTCCGGCTCTAGATCTGCCACCCTACCCCCACCTCAAAGCTGAAGCCCTGGTGGGAGACAGCTGGAATTTAAGACAGACTCTTTTTCTTGTTAAGGGCAAGAAATAATAAACATCTTCCGGGGACCTCAGGAGTGTTAGTAAAACGCTTGAAGCAAAATGAAGGCGGAAGGCCGAAGGAAAATGCATTTCATTTTATGCATGCACTGGGGGAAGGAGGATTGTTTCTGGGGATGCTTAACAAAAACCATCTACGTAGTGATTCAAATATTTCTCTTTGACACAAATGAGTCTGGAGAGAAACATCAATACCAGTCCGTAGAGAAACGACAGTAAAGCTGTAAACAATAATTTCTACAGAACAGAAGGTTTCACAGATGCCGTCAGGAGATTTTGGATGTGCACCTTGGAGGAATGTCTGACTATGTATTCAGCAAAGAAGTCTTATTTCTGAGCCACGAGAAGGGTACACACTTGTATTTACCTTCCCTCTCCTCCCACGTAACCGCGAAGCTCGGGGCTACCTAGTACAGTTGAATGAAGGCTGGATTAAACTGCTAATCTAGGGCTATATATAGACAGTAACGCCAATTTCATCTGCGCCTTCCCCTCCCGGATTCCATAAATCTCAAGATCCGAGTTACAAAGAGACTGGAAACTCTGGCAGCGCTGGGGCCCTTCCCGCGCCCTGCCCGGGCTGTGTCTCCCAGACCGAGCACGAATGCGCGTGGAAACTGCCTCCACCATCCTTCGCGACCCCCCGGGCGACCGAGTCTGGTTTTCTCCCACGGCTTCCAGAGGCCGAGGGAAGGTGACAAGTGGAGGGAGGCGACGCCTGATGACCTGAGCCACGCGGCAGATGCGGCGCTGCCTCGCTCCCCTCGCACGCAGCCCCAGCGCCGCGCGTCCGGCGGCGCCACGCACACGACCATGTGCACCCACCGCCCGCACCGCGTGGCCGCCGCCGCCGTCCACGCTGCCCGGGTCTCCCGCGACCACCGCAAGCGGCGAGCCGGTGTCTCCGGCCCGGGCGCTGGCGCACTCGCGCGTGGGGATGGTGGAGTGCATCGAGCGCCCGCCGCTGAGAGCCGCCCGGGAGCCACATGCTGCCTCCCCGCTCGCTCCGGCCCCGGTGCGTGCCTCAGGCGCGGCGGCGGCGGCGGGCTCGGCTCCCTGCTTCCCTTGCCCGCCCTGAGCTGCTCCTACCTGTCCGAGGAGGTAGCGACGACGCAAGAGACTGGGGGCTGGGACGGTTCCTGCGGCGGCGGCGACTGCAGCGGCGGCAGACAATGGAGGAGTGAAGGACAGACACATTGACATAGACTCACGGAACCCAGCGCAGCTCCGCCTCCTGCGTGGCGCCCGCCCCCGGCCCGCCCCCGTCCAGACCAAGCCATTCCCGGGGATATGGTGGCGGTACCGCGAAAACCGGGGGATTCTTCACCTGCTAAAGAACCCATTTTCTGACCGAGGCATTCAAGATAGACGACGTTTAGTATTGTCTGTCCCTAAATATCTGTGTCGGGCGGGATGAGTGAGGGAAGTTTGCGAAAGAAATTAGGTTTCCCCTCTTGTTCTCTTCAGTTGGTTTTTTCCCTCCGGTGCTGCTCCAATTGCAGGCTTTTGCTACCTCCTTTTGCGGCTTGTCCTCTCGGTCCGGCCAATGACGCGCGGGGAGGCGGGGCCACCTCCGAGCCGCCGCCAAGCCCCTCGGCTCGCCCGAGCTCGCCCAGCCCGCAGCTTGCAGGAGCGAGGAGGCGGAGGCGAGTGCTTGCGTGGTTGAGGACTCGGCGTCCCGGTCTCTTCCGTGCTTCTGACTTTCCTAACGCAAACACATCGTTACTTAATACTTCCAGAGAAACAATAACTTCCAAGCTGGCGGGGGCTATGGTGCACATGAAGAAAGGCGAGCTGGCCGCAGAGGAAAAGGAGCTGCTGGAAGTCATCGGGAAAGGTGCGGATGCGGGGCCGCGGCCTGCGCGTGCCCAGCCGGCGGGGGGCGTGGCGGGGCCGGGCCGGGGGCACCCTGCGTTGCCAGCCGGCTGTCCAGGCCGGGAAGAAGCCTGTCTCCCTGCGGCCCGGGACCGCTTAGGGAGGCGGAGCGTGGCCCGGAGGAAGCGAGCTTTCCGGCTTTTGCTTGGAGCTCTGGGGGACCCTGGATTTCTTCTCCCCTCGGCTTCCTCTGAGTTCCCCGCGCGTGCTTCAGGGCTGCTCCGCGGGCGACTCGGAGAAGGTGGCCTAATACCACCAGGCTTCTGGGCGGGGATCTGAAGGGCCCTTTCCACTTCCGGAGGCCCTGAGAGCGGGATCTCCGGCGCGTCCCCGTCCCCACCTCGTCCAGGCTGAAGGGAGCGCTTAGGTTTCTCCGAGGGGGCACAGGACGGGGGCTGCATTGTGCAGCTTCCAGGTTTCCGCATCCAGGGCATCCCTAGCTTGCTTGGCTCCGAAAGCCTCGGCCGACTCTGTCACAAGCGTGGAGGCGCGGGAAGTGGCGAGGCGTCCACACCCACCCTTCGGCCCGCGCCGCCGCTCCGTGAGGTCCGGATCGCGCGATCTCCCTTATTCCCTAGGCGCGGGGCTCATTTCCGCCGCGCGGGGCGACAGCCGAGGAGCCATGTTTTCGGCTTAGCCGCGGAGCAGGCGTTCTGGAGGAGCTGTCTGGGAGTCCGCTTACCTGGCAGGTGATAGCAGTGTGACCGCGCACCTAGCCTGCGCTGGGGTGAGGATGCGTGGGACTGCCAGCTCCTGGGGCTTCAGATTCACGGGAGCAAAGCCACTCCTCCCTGGAAAGACACACAGGCCTGACCTTGCAGCACGAGGCCCCACGGTTAAAAGTCTCCTTTTTTTCGTAATAGCCAAACTCAAATCTGGAATTCCATAGCACAAGACACATTTAAGTCTTCACAACACGAGAAGTCTACATGTAAAGCAGCAAAAATAAATAAGTAAATAAATCGGGTTTAACCTCAACAGGTGAAAGAAGCCTAGCCCATTTCATCATATCTGAAAAATTATGTCTGTCACGGCAGGGTTTAGCATGATAAGTGTTTGGAATTGTGGAGCTTTGGGTTGAGTTTTTATTGTTGGAACTGCTGACCTATTTGGCATTGTAGACTTTGTGTTCTGCCTACTTCTGGATAATTTCTCCTGGCCTTTGGTGCTGCAGGGATTCTGTTCAAGGAACTTGTGAGTCCCATCCCTCTGCCAGGTACCGTGCTGAGTAGAGGGAGGAAAAAAGAAACAAAGGATTAACTCAGAATCCACCAGAGGTGAGAACTCTGATTTTAAACAGACCAGAGGTTTCACATGTGCTCTTAGAAATGAAAAACTAGTGAAAAGTTATATAAATTACATCACTGAAAGGGGAGATGAGAGTTCTTGGATATAGTCTGAGATGTCCATTAGCTATTACTCTGAAGATTACAAAAAACAATTAATGTGTTTTTACTTTCAGTAGTGTTGTGATACTTCAGAGCCCATATCATGCATCAAGTTGCATGAGTGCAGATTTTTTTCCCTCCCTTTTTCTCTGTTGGGGATATTGGGGATCAAATCCCTAGTCTCCTCTGAGTATTATACCTCCCCACACACTCCAAGCAGAGTCTCAGTAAATCACTGTTGCCCAGGGTGAGTTGGAACTTGCAGTTAATCTCCTCCTTAGCCTGTAAGAGTACTGGGATTACTGGCATGCGCCACCGCATGTGGCTGTCTCAGCAACTTTCATTGGCCTAGGCCAGTGCAAAAAAACTGAGATGAATTTAGTGTGTGACACATTCTTCTCAAATCAAGGTCTGTGGGACATGCCTGCCCTCTCAAGAAAAGTTACTAGGAGTTGTGAGAAGGTAACTATAACTGACATTGGTTGAATGTCATTATGACAGGCATAATTCTGAAACTTTTGCATATATTAATGTATTTAATCTTGATGAGCTAGAATTTAAGTTTTAAACTCTAACACTGAGGTACAGCATGGGATGGCATTTAACCTCGGATATCTGGGTTGAAATCCTGCCTCAGTTATTTACTGGTGATGTGGCTTTGTGCAAGTTGCTTTTCTGGAAACTCAAGTTCTTCATATGACAAATGGGAATAATAATAGTATCTATCTCAAGGCAGTTAGTAGAAAGAGTTAGGACCAGTGACACATTTAAAATACTGTGTTACCTGTTGCTACAATAAATATGGCAAGAAAACTGAAGAGGGAGAATGTTAAGAACCCTTACACCAATTCACTATTTTTAAATCCATGTTATAATTGGAAGTCGGCTTTTTTAGTATGTTTGTAGTTTTATATTTGTGATTATATTGACATCTACTTATAGCTCTTTTAAAATTAAGGCATTTTAAATATTTTTACATTATTGTATTTACATTTGTTTTATTTACATTTCTTTACATTATTTTCTTATTAACATTTTTATGTACTTATTTTATTTGACATTGTAGCACTTCACAAGCCAATCTATAGTTTGAATATCCTTGAAAGTGTCCGCATTTGGGAATTCTGATGAATAATTATTTTTAAGTTCATGCCTATCTGGAAGTTTGGGGGTAGCTCAGTGGTAGGATCCTTTTGTCACATGCTTGAGGCAGTAGGTTTGATCCACGCCGCAAAAAACAAAAGTCCATACATACCTGAATCTTGTCATATTTTGTTTTTTTGTGTGTCTTTTTGAGACAGAGTCTCGCTATGCAGTTCAGGCTGGCCTTGAGCTCTCTTTGTAGCCCAGGCTGGTCTTGAACTCACAGCCATCCTCCTGCCTCAGCCTCCCAAGTGCTGGGATTACAGGCATGAGCCACCACGCCTGGCTTAATCTTGTCATTTTCTGATGGAATGCCAGAAGCAGAGTCACAAGCCCCTCACTTTGAATTCGTTTTGGTGACATCTGCTTATCTTCAGTAACAACCTGTAGTCTCAATCCAGGTGTCAGAATTGTGAATTATACGGTGCTGCTCTGAATATAAAATAAGAACATCTACTATGTACTGAAGGCTTACCGTGTGCCCACATTAAATCAAGACCTCAGTCCTCCTCACAACCCTATGCGCTAAATCCCACTACGTTTCATAGATGAGGAAATGGATTTAGTAGAAGAAAGACAATAATAGAAAACCACTTTGCGTGATGTCTCTGTTGAAATGCAGGTTTATCCAGAAAAATTGATTAGTCTCACCCTAAAAAAGCAGGTTGTGTTGTTTTCTTCTTTAACAATTGTGTTGGTTATTTTTCTCATTGTTGAGACAAAATACCCAACACCCAAAGTTAAAGGATGAAGGGATTATTTAACTCGCAATTTGTAGAAGTTTCATTTCTGTAATCATCTAGCTCCAATGTAGGGTGGCATGGTAGCGGGCCAACTGCTTATGATGGTAGAAGGCAGCAAAAGCAACAGGAAAGATGGGGGGCACGCCTGTTTCTGTCCCCCACACTGTAGGCAGGCTACCCGCCTAGGGCGAGTGTAGCACACACACCCTTGTTCCCAGCCTGGGACCATGAATCAGTCACAAACTCTAGATTTAGCCACCTATGAAAAGCCCACTCCCCTTTACTATAGGAGACTTTAGTGGGACATCGAGACACAAACCATAACACAACCTGGAGAAATTCTCAAAAAAGGGAAACAGATCATTCATATTCCGTTCACTACTTTAGAGCTGTTAATTTCTGTCTCCACTGAAGGTAAGTGTTTGCTCATTGCACATCCTTTCTTATACTGTTGTACTCCCCACTTTAAGAGTTTGTTAAATCAGATTTAACACAGTTCCTTCCCAAAATAAAACAATTACAGTTTAAAACTTAATTTCAAAATACCATTTAGGGGTCTGCTATACATAATCAGGAATGACAAGAGGTAAATATTCATCTGTATAAGCCACGTGTTTGACATTTCACTGCTATCCTGAACCATCTCTAGCTTTTTCCTGATGTCATTAAATTAGGAACACAAAATTAGAAGTCAGCACAAGTTTTTCCTTTTGGGCTAGTTTGCTTATTTTCCAAAATCCACTTTCGTTCTATGGAAGCCCAGACTGTTTCAGATATTTTTCTTATCCTTCATTTTAAAAGGTAAATATTAACCTAGTGAGTGGTGTGTGTGCATTTATGTGTGTGATATAGTAAGAAATATATATGTATATTTGTAGCTCTTATCACAGAGCTCCTAAACTTCCTAACCTGTTTGCAATAGAAGTGCTAGGTGCATCCTTTATTCTTTTTGTGTTTCTGATATCGGCTGCAGAAGTGCTTGGCATGTGTGTGGAAAACCTCTCTGCATCTGGAACCCGAAATGAAGTCTTGAGTAAGAGTTTACTAGGAGAAAACAACTAAATTTTTCCCCCTATTACAACATGTCTCATTTTTTTCTCTGAAGTTCTCTGACCAGGCAGATTAGATTGCTAGCCACTGGGCAAACATTTTGTAGAATTAGCCACTGGTTCTCCGAGGGCTGGACATGTTATGATTGTAATTCTTATCTTCCTTTAACATGTGAAAGGCCCTGACAATCTCTGTAGCATTCTCCCTTCACTGTGTACACTGCAGAAAGACAGTAACTTCGTTTATGAGAATGTGACTCAGCTGAAGCATCCCCTTCAAGTGCAAAGAGGGTGCAGGAGTTTTTGTTCTGTTTCAGTTTTTCTCTAAAGCCATTGGAGAAAAATCTCTGATATAAGTCACAGGTAAGACTGAACTTAGAACTTGCTCCCAGCCTCAAAAGCGCCCCTTCCTGTTTTTTATTGCAGTGCTGGGGATGAAACCCAGGATTTGGAGCAGCTGATATGAGCTCTACCCCTCTCCTCTTGTAGCCATGCAGTCAGTGATAACTCGCTGCTTTCAGATGGATTTCAGCGGCAGAAAAATGCACTGTTTACAAAAATAGCTCCTGCTGTGCTCCAGGGACGCGTAGATCATTCTCTTGACATTTTCCCAACAGAGCTGGGTCTCTATACCAGCCACACATTTCTGTTTCTTACCTGTTGGTGAGTGGTGCAGAGGTAGCTTGCTTGGGAAGCAGCTTGGGGACCAGGAATCCTGCTGGTTTAAATTTTACACCGTACCTTTTACTCTGCAAGTCAGGCAGAATTTCACCCATTCTCAAAGCATGATTGTGAGGGAAGAAATAACTTTGTTGGGGGTTGCTCCCACCCTTTTATGTTCTCCTGGAGGAGATTCTTATCTCCTTTCTCCCTGAGAACATTCTATTTCATTTTTGTCTTTCTAGTCAAACCAAAAATTATTTGGAAGAAGATGTAACTGTCTGGAATTAATGACAATAATAGCAACATTCTGTCTTCCATTCGCTTGTGTCTGCCATTATCCCCCCTCAGAAATCTGGGAAAACCTGGGAATTGTGGCTCAATTACAGCTGGTTTCCAAATTCACAAAAAACTGACCTTCAGGTTTCAGTGTGATCACTTGCAGTACGGTGGTCCGAATACTGATCATAGAACATTTTTACATACTGCCAGGCTTTACAAATGTTCACATAAGCAAATCCAAACCAAGCATTCTATTATAAACGTGCCATCAATTTCACAAGACCTAGTGCTGAGGAATTATATAAATATTGACTGCAGTTTTGGATTCCAAGTTTTACATTGACTAGAATTTCACCTTTAGATGTTGATTTGGATTAGATTGGTTTTGGTATTATGTCTTACGCTTTGTGGTTGTTTTATTACTGCCAAAAAGATGATGTGGCCAATTTCAGATAATTTAAGGTCAGTAAAAGTAAAAACAAGACAACTATTTTAGTTTTCATAAATCTTTTACCCCGGACAGTTACTTTGTAAAACAAATAGTGTGTGATTGGATGGTTTATTTCTTAGCAACTGGACCTGACTTCTACAGATAACTCTTTAAAGTTTATTGCCTGGATGTTAGACTTTTTTTCTTTCCTATTGCAATGATGAATAATCTTATGTTTCATTTTTCCTTTTCCCTTAGGTACTGTCCAGGAAGCTGGAACACTATTATCCAGTAAGAATGTTCGTGTCAACTGTTTGGATGAGGTAAAATAAGGAATATTAATAAAGTATTTTACTTCCTATGAGAATATATAACATAAAATAAACAATAAGAATTATCTTCTAGAATTTGTGGTCAAGTTATACTAATGGTATCTAAATCAGATGTCAGCAGATGGGTCACAAACGATAAGCATCTGAAAGCACACTTAATCTTTTTCCCCATTCCCCTTCTGTCCTTCAGCTCCTCCTCCCCTCTCCATTTGCAAAACTTTGTTTCCGTGTTTTCCTGCTTTTCTCATCTCTTCTTACTTTTCCTTTCTTTTCTTTCCCCCTCCACTCTCTCATTCCCTTCCCCATTTGAACATTTTCCTCATAATTCAAAATACATTTTAGTCCGTGTTTACACTTCCAGAGTGTGTCTGATTCATTTCACTTAAGCGTATGAACTCAAGGCGCGTGCATTTTCCTAGAAATGTTTTGAGCATATTCTTTATGGCAGAGTAGAACACGGTTGTATATTAAAAAAACCACATCTTATCAGTTCATCAGTGGTGGGCACTTAGTTGTTTCCAAGATTTGGCTGTTATAAACTAGCACATTTAATCTTTTTGGGAGTCAAGTAAGCACAGATTATCCACAACCATATCCTTTCCAGTCAAATATGGGAAACATGGTCTTTTATGTGCTAATGATTATATGTATTATAGTATTTTATAAGGCAAAATTTAGATGATATCAAATCAGATGCAGTTAGATTTAAAAATAAAAAATAATGGAGGAATACATATTTGGAATAATTTTAGTTTAAATAATTCTTCAGCTAATGAAGAAATAGAAATGGTTACCATGTAGAATTGAAAATACAGTATGTATCAAAAACTGTTGTTTGTCAAAAGCTGTGATAGGTGACCAAAAGTCATAGTCATAAGAAATTTTGCAGTACTTTTCATTGTACTTTCAGTCTTTAGTTTTTAAGATTTTCAACTCATGAAACTATATAAAAAGGATAAAATATACATGCAAAAGAAATGAGTTAGGAAAAATAGGATAAATATTTTAAAAATTCAGGTGTAAGCAACAAAATTTTAAAAATAAGTAATTGGGAACTATCAAAATTAAAAGCTTTGGCCTTGCTAAAGCATACCATCAAGAGAGTGATAAGAACAGGAGAAACATTTTATAAATCGTATCTGATGAGGACCTTACAGTGAAAAAACATATTAAAAACTTCTACAACTCAATGATAAAAAGTTATATAACCCAGTTTATAAAAGGTCAAAGTATCTGAATAGATGTTGCTCCAAAGAAGATAAATAGTTAATATATGTATGTGAAAAAAATGCCTAAATTGTTAGTCACCAGGGAAATGTAAATCAAAGCTGTGATGAAATACTATTTCACACTCATTTAATACAGCTATAATAAAAAAGGTAGACAATAACAGTTCTTAATGAAGATGTGAAAAAAATCAGAGTTCTTCTGCCATGCTGGTGACACTGTAAAGTGGTCTAGCCATTTTGGAAAATAATCTAGCAGTTCTTCAGGTGATTAAGGTTAGCAGTCCTAGGTCTGGTTTTTTTGTTGTTGTTGTTGCACTGGGGATCGAACTCACAACCTCATGCTTGCCAGGCGCTGTGCCACTGAGCTGTATCCCCAGCCTGAGCAATCCTAGGTCTGTACTCAAGAGCAATAAAAACATCCAAAAAAACTTTGCGCATGCATATTTATAACGGCATCATTCTTAATAGCTAGAAGTGGGAAACACCTCAATGTCCATCAGCTGGATAAACAAAAATGTGGCCTGTTTATGCAGTAGGATATGCAATCATAAGGAATTGATTACTGCTACTTGCTACAGCATGAATGAACCTTCAGATCCATAAGAACAGAAATAAATTGGTAGGTATATAAACCTAAAGCAAACAAGGAAAAAACACAATTGCAATTATAAAGTGGTTGTTATATCAAAAGCATACATAAGGACTTTTTGAACCCCAGTGGCTCAAGACATGATACTGACAGTCAACAAATGGGATAGTATCAATTTTTTTTGAATTTTTAATGTTTATTGAGTGTTTATAAAAAAAAGCATCAACTATTTTTGGTTTACAAAGCCTAAAAAAAAAAAAGTTCCTCTGAACTACAGTGCAAATCCCTAGAACTCTACAACAAATTCATCTTTGCTTCAGTTGTCACACATAAGGCAGTCTTCACATGTATTTAGCTTTCCTGCGTATTTTTGGTAAGATATACTTGGTATCTTACTGGTCTTGCTGTTTTGTCAGGAGCTTCTTACTATGTTGTACAGCATGCACTTAGCAAGAAACTAAGGTATGAATAAAATAACAAATGTGTAATGAGTGCTAAGAATAGGCATCAACATTTTCACATCACTGTGTACTTGCTTACAAAACCTAAAGGATAACAGCAGAAGTAGAGTCTTCCATGATGAACAATAAAAATACCAATAGAACTCTATAACAAAAATAATCCTTGTTTCAGTTGTCATAGCCAAGGCAATCTTCACCATGAAAACTGCATGTTCTGTGCACAAGTATCACTTATACTGACAGCACATATGTTTTGTTTTCCGTCTTTTTTTGTAGGCCACCGCTTAGATCTTTTTGGCTTTCCTGTTGTAGTAGGTCTTCATGATGTTGCTCCTGCCTCCCATCTGAGAGCTCACCAGTGTGTTCTACAATTTTCTTTCTTTCTTTCTTTCTTTCTTTTTTTCTTTTTTTTTTTTTTTTTGGCATACTTCCCTGGGCAGAAACATTTTGTTCTCCTGTTATAAATGATTTCTTATGAGTACCAGTCCCAGTCCTCTAAGAAAATTTCTCCATGATATATTGCATTTGTTATTTTTTTGTAAACTGTCAAACTGTTCATGCCATGTATGTTTATGGTCAGGTAAAACACAGTTATTGGCCAGTGCTTTGTGCCTCAAGTGACATCATAGTTGCTGCATCAACTCATCAACATCTACTCCACTGTGATTTTGTTGTAAGAAGTTACCATCATAGGCCTCAGTTTTGCTGAGGTTTCTCTGTCAGTTTTTCCATTGTGGTGCCATGTGTCATATCTTTCTAAAATCCAAAGCTTATTATTCTCTGTTTTGAAACTACCACGTTTCATTTGGAGTTTCTGCTGTCTTCTTCCTGCGCTGATCAGTTTGTGCTTAGTCAAGAGTTCCATTGCTTGGCCAGTGCATCTCTGCGGGATCAATACTGTTACGTTTAGAAGTCTCTGGTGTCTCTGCCTTTCAGTCTCCTGGCAGAAACCTCAGTGAGACCTGTAAGATGATATACAAGGCATATAACTACCGACCTGATGTTGCAAGTCCATGTTTCGGAAATTGAAGGCTGAATTCCAAGAAACAGTGGCAGTTAGCTGAGGAGAAATTTATTGAGAGAGATAGGATCCACTCAAGAGGGGAGAACAGGTGCTCAGAGGAATGAGGTCTGGATCACATCAAATTAAAGACTGCACAGCGAAGGAAACAACCAGCAATAAAGAGACAGCCTACAGAATGGGGGGAAAATTTTTGTCAGCTATTCCTCAGAGGACTGACATCTAGAATATGTGAAGAACTCAAAAAAATTAGACCCCCCTCCCAGTAGAAAAGACGGAATCAAAGAGTGGGCAACTGAGATGCTAGACATTTCTCAGGAGGTACATTTGTACCTAAGTACAAATGGCCAATAAATGCATGGAAAAATGTTGAATGTTGCTGATCATTAGAGAAATGCAGATTAAGACAATATGTTATCACATAGTCACTAGCAAATGCCAGCAAGGCTGTAGGGAAAAAGGAACCTCTTCACATCGTTAGTGGGTAGTCGGGAAGTATGGCTTCTATGGAAATCAGTATGTTGATGCTTCAAACTAAAAAAAGACATTCCATTTGATTAAGCTATTCTTTCTAGATATCCTCCTAAAAGGGTTGAAGTCATTATATTACAGTGATATATACATACCATGTTTGTAATAGCACAATTTATATATATAATAGCTCCATCTTTGAAACAGCCTGTGTGTACATCAACAGATGAATGGAGAAAGAAAATGTATTTATTTATATACAGAGGAGTACTATTCTACCACAAAGAAGGATAAATTTGAAGCATTTGTAGGTAAAGAGTGCACCTGAGACTTTAATGTTAACTAAAATAAACAGTTTAATTATCACATGGTGTCTCTTATATGAGAAATCCAAACTGCAAATCAAGAGCAACATAAAAATAATAGGTAGGTAGGAGATCATTTACAAATAGGAAAGGGAACAAGAGACGGAGAGGGAAGAAAATGTGATTTAAAAGAGGATTTTAAAAAATGGAGCTTTTGCAGATGAGAAAGGGACCAAGGCTTGAACTGGGGAGGAAAGGGAATGAAAGAAGAATTAAGATGTGTTACACCATAAATATAATCATTATGTACTGCAAATACGTACTAATAAAAATAAAGAGGATGGTCATAACTTTTCTTGAATAAATAGATTTTAACATTCACATGAACTTCGTAGAAAAATAATAAAAAATAATAGAAAAAAGAATAATTAGGAACATTTAAAAATACTTTTCACCTTCAAAATGTGAAAACCTGAATTAAGTTTTATAAAACTTTAAGGATCAGTTGATTTTCATTTTACACAAATTATACTATTAGTTTATAAAAGGGTAGGTAGTTAAGGGTTGTATAAGGCCAATGCCAGATAGAAAGAAGCCCTCTCACAGACTTGAGACCCACTTCACTTTGCAAATAGGTTTCTAATTGTACTAACTGAAATGTTACCAGGCAGAGGCAGCAGTGTATTCAAGCATTACAACACAGCGAAACCAAGTAGGCTTTTTCCAACAATGGTACGAGGCTCAGTCCTGGAAAATGTTTCAGTGTGGTCCACTGTACTACAGAAAAAAGAATATAATCACCCCAACAGGCACCATGACATCTTCACAAAAATTTAATAACTATGGATGATCAAAAAAAGTCTTAAGAAGTAGGGATAAAATGATTTTTTTCTTGTAGCTTGATAGAAAGTTTGCAGAAAATGTCCACAAACATTCGTGTTAAAAAACAACAACAACAAAAACCAAGGCCAGGAACTCAGTGGTGTAAGTGCCTGCCTGACAAGCGCAAGGCTGTGATTGTCGCTGGTAAAAAACAAAAACCAGGATGGAGACGAAGCTTCTGAAGTGTCCCTGGAGATGGTGAGTGGCCACAGACAGACTTGGCCTTTTTGAGGGCTCATGACATACTGCAGATGCTTCTCTCCACGAAAGCCCTGCGCTTGCATCCCTCCACCTGGACCATGCTTTCTCTGCTTGTTTACAGCTCCCTCCAAGCCCTCAATGAGATGCCACCTTCTCAGCTGGAAGTTCCTTGAATGTCTTAAAACCAATCCTCCTCCTGTTCCCTTACTCTATTATTTCCTACCAGCACTCAGATCACTGCCATATTATCCTGCTGTCCTAGTCATCTTTCCCTTGCTGTGACTAAATATCTGAGAAAAGCCCTGTAGAGGAGGAAAGGTCATTTTGGGGCAGCGTTTCCAAGGACTCGGTGTGGCACCACGCGGGGCCATTGCTTGGGATCTGTGGTGAGGCAGGACGTCATGGTGGGGAGGGTCCCGCTGAGCAGAGCTCTTCTCTCCGCAGCAGGAAAGCAGGGAAAAAGGAAGGGCCAGGGGCCCAGTGTGCCCTGGCAGCCTCGTCCTTAATAACCACTTTTCTCCTTGACTCACAAAGCTCCATCATCTTGCAGTAGGGCTACAGGCAAGTGACCAAGCCTTTCGCATATGGAATTTGAGGGACACTTAAGATTCAAACCGTAACATCTAGAATTTACGTGCCAGGGACTTAGGGGTGTGGAATTTGTTTATTGCTACTGCACTGTGTAGATTTGTGTCTGGGCTATATGAGGTACTCTGTAAATACTTGCTGAGTAAGTAAATGATGTATTTAATAAGGAGTTCCAACATAATCGCCTCATACTGATGAATGCTTTGATTCAAAAATTATAGCAGATAAATACGACTTTTAAGATTATTGTACTTAAAGAACTGTAGAAGCTCTTTTCTCATACAATTCAGCTAAGCAAACTACTTCTGAGTTTGTCTTTGAGAAATGACACACTGGTGGGAATTTTCCCCCTTATGTTTCATTCAGATACCATAAAGATTTTAGAGATATTAAAAAATGAAAGGAGTGGCGATTGATTATAATTTATTATTGTAATTTATTAGCACTTGGAAATTGAAACACAGTTTCAGACAATAAATATAAAAACGAAGTGTTTCTTAGAACTGATGAAGTTTCAGTGCCACCCTGATAACCCTTTATGAAACTTTATCACTACTTTGAGCAGACATGAGCATTCAGTAGTCTCACTTTTTTCCCTGATACTGTTAAGCCATTTATAATAGGAATGTGACATTTTAAATTTACCATATTTACTTAAACATGAGACTTTTCTCAGGTAGTAGACTAGCAGTTTTGTTTCAAACCATTAATTTTCTTTTCCAGATACATTGAACTACTATAAAAAGAATAGAAAGAGTAGAAAATTTATAGTATGTGGCTTTATATGTCTTTGGAGCATCAAAATTTATTAATATTTTTTTTCTTGGCACATTGAAATATTTCCTTAAAGGTAGTACTAGAACCAAAATATGCCTGGTAATCATTGTACTCAAAATTTATAGTTTCCTTTGCACTGTTCTAAATCTGTATAACACAAAATTGAACTGAGAGATAAGAAAATATGTCTGATCAGTAGCATTTTTAGACTCAGTGCGCTAGCCTATGTTTGATGTTAAAAAGTTAAAAGGTTATGAGCATGAAAAGCATAAATATTAGAATCTTGTCTGACTGCTCCCCCAAAATGTTGTTTATCAAATATTCCATCTTTATAAGGGTTATTTGTAAAACTGCGGACTCCAGTAGGTTGTCTCATTTCTTTCTCATCTAGTCGTCCCCAAATCTCTTCTTGTGACAGTTGCCTATATGGGCGTCCTACTTATATGTTAGTGGAAAAACATTTGCAGCACTGTTAAATGAGCTTTTAAATGTTTACCTCAAGTTAAATGCAGCACTCACTTGATGGATATTCATGGTGGAAATATGTGTGTTAGACAGACATGCTGACCCATTTCTTTAACATGTTGCTAAGTTTAAGAAGCATTTCAAAATATTTTGCTGAAAGGTGAAAATACATAATGGATTCATAAAATATAGCCTCTTAAAACATGTTGAAAGATTTTAAAGTGCATTTTTCCTCTTAAGAGTAATAATTTTTGAAGTTACTATACATCAGTGATAGTCTTTTTTAAGATCAGTTTTTCTTAAAAGGTATGTTTTATGTAACATCTAGTCAATGAACAAGATTTTGTCTGTTAAAACAATTTATATTTGAAGTTGACTTTAAAAAGGCAAAGAACAGTCTTTAAAGTTTATAGACTCTCAGGCAACCAACAGAGTAATGGTCAGTTATTTAGTCTAGAATCAAAGCACTTTGTATTGTTTGCTTTTAAGGGGTCCCAGAGTGTTAAATCTGAAGCATAAAGAATACCATTTATATAAATTAATGTTGCATATTCTATTTGTTGTGTATGTGTGCCGCATAGGTTATGAGGAGTGTTTAACATTACCGCCAAGTCATAATAACCACTTGCCAAATACTGCTGATGAGATTTCTTAAAGGTAGCATTCTGTGCTGTCCTATGATCGTGGTATTCTTGCTGCTCGACAGTAGTTTTATAAGTGATTAGGGCTGTGTGTTAATAGTACCTTTGTCAAACTAAAGATGGTGAATGTGCACAAATGATCATTCAGTGTTTTAAAAATTGGTTGGCACTAATTTAGAGTTTTTGTGTTATATATATATTTTAACATTCAATTTAAACTGCACAGAATAACTAAGATAAAAAAAGAAAGTGTGTGTGATAGCCAGGTTTTTGAAAAACCTGTCTACACATGCTATTTACCAAAAAGTCGGTTTCTAATACTCAGGAATATCCAGCACAGCGTTGAAATTGCTATGAGAGGAATGACAAACAGCAGGTTCTGAGGCTGCACCACAAATGATGTAGCTGAGATAACTCTTCACCTTTTTGGAAAGAAACGTTCTCATTGGTTGCCTCTGACATGCAATCCCTGCTAAGATGGTAGCTGGTAAATGAGAAGGGACAAGAGAGAAAAGAGATAAACAGAGAAAAAAACTTTACAATGAAGTCAAAGGAGTAGCAGCAAACAAAGGACAATTGACCAGTAAAGGAGCAGAAATCATTAGTGCAGTCTCAGCAGTCAGGAAACAAGTGCAATTTGCAGTGTGGATCCCAAAGCTTCACACGTTTCCTTTGCTCCTAAGCAGATCATCACATTATATTCAGGGCCTCTTTAGTGTTTTTGTTTTCTAACAGAACAGTTGTGCAGTTTCCAGAGTGTTCATTCTGAGAGCGGTGACCTGCCAGCTGCAGGATGATTGCTAGGTGGTTGGCTGCTCACCCTTTTAGGGTGGCCCAAACAGAAATACTCCTTGATTGAGGTCAGTCCTGGAAATTTGTAAAGGAAATAGATGGTTGCTTCTTTCTAGTGGTTTTTCGTAGGTTTGTGCCCCCTCCCCCATTCTATACACTGTCCTCTTAGGTACAGGTTACATCATCCATCAGGATGTCCCCCATGTCCTCAGTCCATTTTGCCTCATCCAAAGGCCAGTGACTGAGTTGTCTGTTCCTTTTTGTCTCTAAAGCATCCCAGTGGCTGCTGCCCGTGTGCAGTGGAACCCTAATGTCTCCCACCAACTCAACCACTTGTGATATAATAATCCCATTCTCATAGAAATGACCAGCTAGGAGTTTTAAGGTTGTAATCTTCTGTTTTTCCATTCTTTCCCCTAAAACCCAGTATTACTTTCCTCCACCTGAAAGAACCCAACTTTCCTATAGTTCTCAAGTCAGTATCCTTTTAAGAATAGGATGGCAGGCCCAGGATTTAGCTCAGTGGCCCAAGCGCCTGCGTGGCATGTGCAAGGTCATGAATTTGATCCTTAGTACAAAACAAAACAAAAGTATGGCATTGTGTTAACAAGATGACAGCTTAATGTTAATAACAATAGTCTGGAATCATTGAGAATAATTCAAATTCTGCTAGCATTCTAAGATTTATAAAAGTAAGGGATTATATGTTTTAGGGAGATTTTCATCATAAACAGCTTTGGTACTTACAAAAGTTTAGCCAGGTTTACTGATAATATTCACTTCTGGAAGCATTGCATTCATTTATCTGCTAGATACTTAGGTGCCCAGCACATGTTAAGTTTCCTTGTTATGCTCAAAATGTATAGAGACCAAGCAGTACAACCTAGTGTGTGTAGTATCAGCTATTTCTGTGCAGTTATATAATCATATATTTGATCAGATTGTAATGTACTGTAATTGCAATAGACATGTGATTTTGAGGGCTTTATTTTTAAAAAAAGATACCACTGTAATAAATATTTCCTGTATCTCCTTTCTTTCATTGCCAGTAATTCATACAAAATTTTCCACTGCAAATGAATTTATTTAAATTTCATAATGTCCCCTATTATGAATATGCTGTACTTTATTAAACTTTTCCTTTGATAAGTAATGTTTATTTCAGTTTTCTGAAATAAACAGTTTATTGTTTATTTCAAGGTTTTCTTCAGTTTTCTTTGTGTTTATATCTGTTTGTTCATTTCTTTCCCGAGCAGCTAAGTATATTGGGTAAAGATTAAAATCTTGGGAAGTCTGAGTTCTGATCCAACCCCACTAATTTACTAACCCTGTGAGATTGAATCCATCCTTTCTGATGTATAATCTGTAATGTGTAATCTTTTTACTGCTGTTGGTAACAAAAATAAATAAAACCTTCTCTTTTCCTCAGAAGTTTAGCGGGGAGCTGACTATAAAAATAGATTGTGTAGTTGAATTTATTCATTTGTATTTATATTCATAGATAAGGAAAGGTAAATGGGTAATATCAATACATTTTTTCCTTTCTGTTAGAATGGGATGACGCCTCTAATGCATGCCGCGTATAAAGGAAAACTTGATATGTGCAAATTGCTTTTACGACACGGAGCGGATGTGAATTGTCACCAGCATGAACATGGATACACAGCCCTCATGTTTGCTGCACTTTCTGGTAAAGTTTTAGCCCTCTATGTTAATATTAGTCACCTGTGCAAACTGAAGTATGTATGCTTTTTAAGATTATACACATTTCTATTTTAGTAATTTAAAGTTTTATAGAAATGGTGAGAATTGGTGGGGTTTGTGTTTGATTTTTTTTTTTTTTTTTTTTTTTGGTATCAGGGATCGAACTCACGATTGCCTGCTTGCAAGGCAGGCGCTTATGCCGCTGAGCTAAATCCCCAGCCCCTGTGTTTGATTTTTGAGACAGAGCCTCACTATGTAATCTAGGCTAGCCTTGAACTCACTGTGTATCCAGGCTGGTCTTGAGCTCATGGTGATCCTTCTGCCTCCCAAGTGCTGTGACTACAGATGTGCATCACCAAGAGATAGTTGAGAATTTTTTTTTTAAAAGATACAGTGTATCAAATAATTTTATAGTTATCTGGTGATATGTTTCTTTAGTGACTTACGTTAATTAGTTTTTTATGTTGACAATATGTTTTGGTAGAATAAAGGAGCTGGATCTGTTATTCTTTCAAGTAGTTCCTATGATATTTTATGTCTTTAGAATGTGAGATAGTCTGAACACTGCATTGTTGTGGTCAAACAACTGCTGTGATAGAACTCTACCTCACTGAAACTTATATACTTAATATGATCATACATTTAGAAACTTATTCCTACTCATATTTATTACTTGAGAAATACTAGGTTTCATAGGGTTATCTGTGATTATTGTAGTTCTTTAAGAAAATACACCTGTAATATAGTGATCATATTTTAAAAGAATAACTTACATTTTTATAAACCTGGAACACAAAAGCATTTCTGAGCATTGTATATAAAATATAGAATCCAAAAATGGTAACACTGACTATATTGTTTACCTACAATATTAGCCATGCTTTTATTGTAAATAAAATTTAAAAAATACAAATAAAAAATGAAGTAAACACAAGCATCTGTCTGGCAAACCACAAGGTTGTGAGTTTGATCTCCAGTACCACAAAAAAAAAAAAAAAAAAAAGAAAAATATTTGTTACATGTCTGATAGGATCATATTGCTAAATATAAAGAGTTCCTGTACAAAATTAAAAGACAAGTACTATAATATAAAATTGCACAGAGAACAAAAAATGTAACTGGATGATCAACATATAAACCATTTTTAGCAATAATCAAAGAAATTTAAAGTAGTACAATAATTTTTTTTTTTGGTCTTTTTCCTTTTTATCGGTACCGGGGATCGAACTCACAACTGCCTGCTCGCAAGACAGGCACTTATGCCACTGAGCTAAACCCCCAGCCCCTACAATAAATTATTTTACATGGATTTTACTGGCAAAGGCTAAGAAAATGATAGTGCCTAGGGACTTTTATGCACTGTTTTGGGGAATAGATTTCCAAGTTCAACCTTGCTAGACACAGTGCATTTAAAACATGTATGATCTTCAACCCAGCTATGATTTTAGAAGCTGTTCCCAAAAATATAATGCTTCACATTTGCAGAACTCAATGGACAATGTTGTTCACTAAATGTAGTTTAAAGTAGCAGAGTATCTATAATGATTTTATCAGTGATAGAATGTGAATAGAATAAACTATGGATGTCAAGATAGAAGAAACTCATAGAAGGATAGGTGCCCAAGAATTAATAGTTATTCCAGAGCCTGTCGGTATCAAGGATGAAATGGGAGTGGATATTAAAAAAGAAGACTTTATTCAGATGTTTTCTTTTGTCTTTCTTCGCTATTTTTGTATGATTGTTTTGGTTTTATACTAAGCATTATCATTAAGAAAATATTTTACTTTTAAAAGTGGTATTCAGTTATATACTATTTTTACATTGCCTGATTTGTTTTCCAGAAATAAATCTGTTTGTTTGCAGTAGTGCAGATCAAACCTAGGGATTTGCCACTGAACTACATCTCCCTCACCCCCACCTTTCTAAGTTTTTATTTTGAGACAAGATCTTGCTGAGTTGTTCAGCCTGGGCTCAAAGTTGTGATCCTCCTGCCCCAGCCCTCCGGAGTGCTAGGTTACAGGCTTGTGCCACTGTGTTCAGCTGAAAAATAGGGTTTTTAAGCGTGTTAGGTTCTGTCACAGTTTTCTTTCTAGTTATGATTCATAGTTTGGAAAAAATGAAAATACTCATATGATAGTCCTAAAAGTAAGTGTGTGGGGTGTTGCTAATTTGAAGAAGACGTTTACATTGTGCATTCCTTAGTATCGGCAAATCTATTCCCTTATCTTCCCAGGTAATAAAGACATAACCTGGGCAATGCTGGAAGCCGGGGCAGAGACAGACGTGGTCAACTCTGTAGGAAGAACAGCCGCTCAGATGGCAGCCTTCGTAGGTGAGCTTTTGCTGTAATTTTATAGTGATTTTGTTTCTGGAAAAAAAAAAAAAAAAAATCAGGGGCTGGGGATTTAGCTCAGCGGCATAAGCTCCTGCCTTGCAAGCAGGCAGTCGTGAGTTCGATCCCCGGTACCGATAAAAAGGAAAAAGACAAAAAAAAAAAAAAAACCAAATTGCAAATACTGGCATGTGCTTTTCTAAATAAGCAGATACAGTCCACTCTGAGTAATGTAGTAAAATACCTTGTGACACTTCAGAAAAAGTGAGTTTCTATTGTGAATTGAGCTATTGTGAATTTCTGCTTTGTGAGATCGAAAGACGAGCGGGGCCATTTTAATTGCCGCAGGGTGCCTTCAAGACTATTTTCTCTCTGATGGAAGCAGATGAACCTAATGTGTGAGAACATGAAGCCTGGAGTCAGCAATCTGGAGCTGCACTTCTAGCTTTACTACTTAATAGCAAGCAACTTAATGATTGTCACATTCAATTTCCTCACTATAAAATAATTGCAGGATTATTCCGAGGATTAAAAGAGATGATAGACTTAAAGGGCTTTATACGTAGCACTAAACACATGGTTACTGTTGTTAATAATAATTGCACCAGCGATCCAGTTCTTCTGTAGAAGGAATGTTTGATAATATTCAGCTGCTTCATGATCATATTTATCAACCGCAAACATTTATTTTGTGTGCCCGATAATTCTTGGCGTATGAATCCTATTGACATAATGTAGGGGTGGAGGCGAGAGTGAGAATGAACACTTGATCACTGCTAATGGGACTCATTGAACTGGCAGTTAAGAGATCCAGTGATGGAAAAGTAAAGATACCACCAGGGGTGGTGGCGCTTGCCTGTAATCCCAGCACTTGGGAGACCGAGGCAGGAGGATTGCTGTGTCTTTGAACCCAGCCTGTACTAGATAGTGAATTTAAGATGAGCCTATAAAGCGAGACTATGTCTCAGATAACTACAAAAGAAAAAGGAAAGATAGGAACATCTGATTAATTGGAAGTACAGTAAATGACCTTGTGAGGACCAGTGATATTTAAGTTTCTTAGTGTTCATAACCTGCATACCAAGTATCACGCTGGGTCACTTGGATACAGTGTTGACAGAGACATCATTCAAGTTTCATGCTATTTAGAGGCAAACAGCAAAGACAAGCAGCATGAAAGTATGAGAGAATTTGAGTTCCATAGAGATAGAAAGAGGGAATCTTCTCTCCTGCTGCAGCTGGTTTTGAGAGACATTAGAATACACAGTGGGAAATAGTCAAATGCAGACCATGGTAACTGTGCATCATTTTAAATGTTAGTATTAAATTTTCTTGAAACTGATAGTAGCTACCATTGATGAAGCCTGATGATCAGTCACCTTATGACAGCTTTGTGAAAACAGGTATTTTTGTTGTATTTTAATTTCAGGAGCATTTGAGACAGGTATGACCTTTCTGTGTGTAAGAAAAATGTTTTATCTCCCAACTAGGAACCTCACAGTTACCCTAAACCAACCTCAAAGCCACTTTGAGGGTGTCAGTACAGGGTGGAAAGAACACTAAACGAGGACTAGAGATTTGTGTGTTAGTTTATATTTTTTCCTAATTGGGATTGTGAGACCCATTCCCTGGGTCTTAATTTCTTGCTCTCTATGAAATAAAGAAGAATTAGGTGAGCTCCAGAGGTTTGGTTAACTTTACAATTTCCGTTATGTCTATGACTAAAAGAAGAAAAAGTAGATCTCAGATGAAGGTTAACTTCCCCACAGGCACAGTCTGGAAACAAAAGGGCTTGTTCTTTAAATTAATGTGCTGCTCTTCTTTCTTTTGTTCACAGAATAACTAATCTAGGACAGAAAATATTCACATTCTAAAGTATCTCATTCAAAAATAAAAATAATGTTTTCATTACATTTTAACTAGTTAGCAGTTTCATAGATGGAAAGTTACATTGCAACCTTTCAGTTAAAATTACGTTTTCTATATAATTAGCCTTTTACAAGAGTCATGCTTCCTTTTTTGTTTCTGTCAAGTGGATAAGTGTATGCATCGTGTATACATGCATATACAAGATGTCTGTCATTATAAAAATGTAATCGTCTTTTTCATACGTTATAAATGTAAAAAACTTTTAAATTTTCATTGTTTTAGTAATGTAATTTATATAGGTGAATTTTGTCTTATCATCCAAATGATAGTCTCGTGGCAGGTATTTAAATTATGCATATTTAAAATAATTACTCAATTGCATTCTTTATTTTTACTCTATCCTATGTGATTCCTTAATGGGATTTACTTGGTCAGATCTGTACCTCAGCCCCACTCCCAGGGCACATATTTGACCATTTCATCAATCCATGAAAAGGTGAAACCCTCCTGACTGATTTTTGTACATCTGTTTTTGCCTTCTTAGACTAAAAGTTTTTTTCTGCTTCTTCCACTTCCTCAAAGCCTGTCACACTTCTGTGGGCTTTGTATTTTTAGTACCATTGTTATTAGAATGTCACTGACAGCCTGTTGCCTGGCTTCCAGCAGTCTTGTCAACCATGTGATCTCTTAGTCATCCTGTGACACTCCTCTGCCCTTTCTCTCATCACTCTTGGGAGTTCTGACCTCATTTAGATTTTGTTGTGAGAACTTCTCAGATGAGTAGGCTGATGGTTTCTCATCTTGCAGTCACTGTGACAAATACCTAACAAAAATCAGTTTAAAGGAAGAAGGCTTTATTTTGGCTTACTGTTCCAGAGGGCTTAGTCCCGTAGTCACCTGGCTGCCAGGCAGAAACATCATGGTGGAAGGGGATGTGGAAGACTCTGCATCTCACAGCAGCAAAAAGGAAAGCAGAAAGAGAAAGAGAAAAGCCAGAGGGAAAAGGAGGGACAGGAAACAGAGACACCTTTCAGAGCCCAAGCCTCCAGAACCACTTCCTCCAAAGGGAAGCTTTCTAATTGCCCATTCAGATGGACTTATAAATAGTCTAATGAAATTAATTCATGCACAGTTGTAAATTTACACACACAGATGCCTGTGTGATTTTGATACTGTCATGGTCATAGCCCATTTATGTTAATTTGTTCAAGATAGTCGTGATCATTTTCTAAACAGCTCATCTTGGTTTATTTCAGATTTTTAATATCGATTGCTAAGAAGGCAAATGGAACTTTTTGGGAAAGAGGAAGGGCCAACCTGCTATGCCTCCCCACCAAAAAGAACTAAAAATCTAATGTGGTACTGAACAGCACCATGGCATACCTAAAATAATATTCAGTGCTCCTAAATTCTCTTTTCGAATCATAGGTAGTTCTTTCCTTTGTTTCATTCTCCATCCATACCTTTTTTTCTCTCTAGCAGATAGATTTCTTAGATTTCTTCGGCTTCTTTTTCATAATGATTTTTCTCTCTGAATTATCCATTATTTTGAGATTGTCCAATTGATCTGCAGTTATCTAATTTAGTTCCCAGTAATAAAATGAATTACCTCTTTCTATTTGTTTATTAATTTTTAATGTTTGAATGTTGTCTTTTTTTGCCCCCAATTCTGGTAGTGGGGATTGAATTTATGGCCTTTAGAGTCTAGGTATGAAGTCCAGGCTGGCCTCAAACTCAAGGTCTTCCTGCCTCTGCCTTAGGTGCTGGGATGATAGGTCTGTGCCATCATACCTAGTTCCTTCTGCAGATTCTTGAAGGGCCATCGTTGTTTTTGCTGTAATCATCACTGGAGTGCTTCTGGAGCTCAGGATCCCCAAGGTGCTTTATCTCCTAGGCAGCGAGCCAAGCCCAGCTGGCAGAACAGTGCTGTGGTCTTAAGACTCATGGGCCTAGGGTCACCCAACCAGCTGAGGCATAGGGAGGAACTGCCCTCTGCCTGTGCTCCCAGGTTCTCCGCAGGCCAAGCAGAGCCCTCTGCCAGCCACATGGGCAACGTGCAACTGGCCACAGTGTGATGCCCCTGTAGGTCACTTGTTATCCCAGGATCAAATGGGCACCCCCTACATCATACGCTTGTGGCCTGGGCTCCGTGGGGGGCCCAGGGTGGATGAGTCTCAGGGAGCAAGAGCCACAGGGTTGTCCCTGAGCGTCCCCTGTCACTCGGCCCTAGGCAGGCAGAGGAAGAAGTCTCTGGAAGGCCACAAAGAGCCCAGGTGTGTGCCCTGCAGGTCCTGCCTGCCTGCAAGAGTGGGTGTAGGGAAAGCCCAGGAGAGGAGGCAACGTAAGCCGCTGCAAGGGCACTAGGCCACCAGGCCATACATACACCAGGGAGGGGTCTGCTGGTAGAGCCATTCCTAACCTGAGCGCTGCCCAGAGAAGCCACTGAGAGGTGGGTGAGAAGCAGTCATGCAGATTCCAGGCCGTGGGAGCCACAGCCCTTTTCTGTAATTCATTTCTCAAGTTTAGGGGAAGGGATATTTTAAAATACTAGTGGTAATTATGATAAAGCTACTTTATATAGCGTGTATTTAAATTATGTAAAAACACATGTGCACGTGATTTAGAGAAGCATGATTATCATTTTTATGGGGGGAAGAGACAAATTGCAATCAATTCTTATAAATTACTTTTGGGATCAATTATAACTTGAGTGGCTTTTTAAAAAATCGTATATTCTCATATGTATTTCTTCTATGTATTAGATATTCTGTGGGTGTGTGTGTTTGTGTGGTACGGAGGATTAAACCCAGGCTCTGCTAGCTGTACTGCATTCCCAGCCCTCTTTAAGTCTTATTTTGTGACAGCATTTCTCTGTGTTGCCAAGTTGCTCAACCTGGGCTTGAACTCACAATCCTGTTACCTCAGCCTCCCCAAGTGCTGGGATTACTGCCTGCACCACCTCACCTGGCTAGAGTGTGCGTCTTGAAAAGATGACTCCATTTTTTTTTTTTTTTTTCATTTGTCTTTTTGAGACAGGGTCTCACTATGCAGTTCAGGCCGGCCCTGGAGCTCACCCTGGAGCCCAGGGTGGTCTCGCGCTCACAAGAATCCTGCTGCCTCAGCCACCCAAGTTTGCAGTTGCAGGCATGCGCCCTCAAAACACCCAATTTAAAAGATGACTCCTTTAGTTTAAAATGGTTAGCAGTCTACTGTAACTCTCTTCTCATTCTCTACTCTCCTTTCCTGAAGAATAAAGACAATTACATGTTTGATTCACAAGAAAATTGCAACGTAATAATACCCAGACAATGTCTTCTTGTTAACAATAAAACTACTACTGTTCTGTTTTTCTGTTGAAAGGTCAACATGATTGTGTAACAATAATCAACAATTTCTTTCCTCGAGAGAGACTGGATTATTACACAAAGCCCCAGGGGCTGGATAAAGACCCCAAACTGCCTCCGAAGTTGGCTGGCCCACTGCACAAAATCATCACCACAACAAATCTCCACCCCGTCAAGGTAGTGCGGTGTTGGTTGTATTCACGCTCTTTAGTGTTGAAGTTCGAACCACTTTTACCCGGGGTTGTGGTCATTTTAGGTTGCATTTTGTAGGCACAGAGTTGTAGAGCTCTCTCTTGTTCGTGGAAGGGGTCATGGAAGGGAGACCCTGGACTGAAATGTGGGGGACATTGAAAGAACCAGGGAGGAGGAGAAGGCGGCCTGGGCCAACACCCTGTCCCCCACAGTCAGTGCTGGGAGGACTGGCTACAGGGAAAGGACAGGCTCTCGGGTCACATAAAGTGAGACAGCCTTCTCAGGATAAGAGGTTCTCTGGAGAAGGAGGCTACCCTGAGCCCATGGCAGCCTACACTCGGCGAGTGTGTCTGGGCCTGGTGTGCAAGTCTAGTGTAGAGGATCCAGTCCCCCACATCTGCTGGCAAAGTGAGCCCGACCTGTGATCATGAGGACATTTCTGACACAAATGGCTTTGAAGCCTTTATGTGACACGGTTCCCCCAGGAATTAGATCAGATCACTGAACTTTCAGACCAGTATGTACATTTCAGATTGATTGCTTAAATGAAACTTCCAGATCTTGAGCTATCTCCACTAGCAACAAAGAGATGCAGAAAAAAATCTGAGTAAAATAAGACTTAGCAGTTACCTCAAAAAATGCTTAGTTTTTCCCTGCCAGGAGCCCCAGGGTCTGCCCACCCATGGCACCTGGGCTTCAGCCAAGCTGAGAATAAAGACAGGAGCCAGGTTTTGCGTAGTGCAGAGAATGTGTGAATTTAAAGACCTTTGTTCCCCCTTGGCCTGAGCATTCTTGTGTATGGTAATTTAGGTTGATTTGAAAAAGTTCTTTGTGTTTTTCTGATTCTACCTAGCTGTATCTTCAGATTTCAGTAAGTTTCTGGAATAATTTTTAATGGTTCCACCCATTAAAACCAGTTTCTCAGGGTACAAGGAATTATTCCACCCTTAGTTATCTTTAGAGGCATATATTTTAAGTAAATTAGATTAGGACATATTTATACAGGCAGTAAATTGCAAAGGTCATGCTGTTCACTTAAACACTTCCCTTTATCCTTGGGAAATAAAAGCTTACCAGTTGCTTTCGTGGTGACCCAGTTTCGTTGCTTCAGCCTTTTCAAGCTAGCATGATTCTTTATAGGGGATATTATTTTAAAATAGTAACAAATAGTCACCATTTAAAGTAAAACATCTTTTAAAGTAAAGGCTCGACCCAACACACAGAACTCCTTTTTATCAGGTGACATCTAACATAGCTACCTCCATGTTGAGGTTCAGTGGCTGCTGTAGCAATAACAATGTGTTTGTTTTCAAAAGGGACTTGGGAAATTATTTTGATTCCCAGAAAATAAAGGTCATCTAGGGGAAAAACAGAATCACAGGGGAAAAAATAGCAGCAGATCTGAGTCTCTTAGGCAGAAGGAAGACAGGTGTTCACAGAGTAATCCTGCCTTGGATTATTAAGACAGTTTTCAAGCTCAGAATTGTTGATTTAGCAGTTTAAATACCGTAAAGGGATTTGGGACTAGGGGTCTAGCCCAGGGGTAGAGCATTTGCCTAGCATGCATGAAATCTGAGTTTGAACTATAGCACCATTAAAAAGAGATTTAAAAAATAAGAATTCAGAAGGCTACTGTATGAACTTGTTCTAAGGTAACAGTTCTTTAGGAAATAAGATTCAGAGTTTTCATAGCAAAAGGAATGTATTTAGTTCTCTTTGGTATTTAATAAGGAGTTCTTTTATATTACTTCATAATCCTGCAGAGATGAAAGGAAGAAAATTGTACAAATAGTCCTTGTGTGCACCAGATACAGTAAACTTAGAGTAATGCTGTGGTTCTTTATCATACCTCTTTGTAAATATTTGCTTTACATTATAAAATAAATAAAGTCTAGTATCTCAGGTCAACAAAATCACTAATTTGAATTCCATCTCCATTTGAGATTTAAAAAAAATATTCTCCCTTGTAAGAATTTATACTCTGATTATAAATGCCATATATAAATAAAGTATTGACCAACGTTTATTTTAGTTAACAAAAGTAGATAATTAATAAGTAGATAATTAATGAGTCTCTGCCGTGAAATAGTTGATGCATGTTTTGGTAGGGGGAATAATCAACCAATTCACTAATAAGGATTCTGATTCTATTTACTTCAAGTCTAGTAAATTATTGTAATGTGCTGGGTTTTTAGAAACAGATTATATAAATATACTAATAGCAATAATAAATGAGAAACTTGAGATTTGGCTCAGCTTGAGATTTTGCACGAGCACCTGCCTGGCAAGTGTGAGGTTATAAGTTCGATCCCTAGTGCCAAAAAAAAGTGAGAATCCTTTTCTAATTTTTGATGGACAGCCAGTCTGTTACTTTTCCAAGTGGGTGTCCAGGCATGGGTTGTTCTTCAGCTAACAGATGATCTTTCCTTGTGCCTAAAGAGAAGAATGTAATTCATGCAATTGCTCTACCTGTTTCCTGACATTTACAGCCCCTGGACAGCTGTTTAGGGTTAGGGTTAGGGTTAGGGTTAGGGAGCACACAAGTTAGGGAGTGCTGGCTGCTGTACTTCATAATTCATGAATAGCATGAGGGCCTTCTACAACACTTTGTTAGCAAAAGATTTCTTGAATCAGGGTTCTTCTGTACTAGTTTTATAACTTAGATCTGTGACAGTGTCTTCTAATTTGCATTAGCACAGTAAGTATGTGATCCTCGGAAAGACTTTATATGGTCTTGAAATCAACTGAACCAGCTGCCCAGTTTGTACATGGCAAAGCCTCTCATGGGAAATCTGTTTGCTGGATTTGCTTTTAGATCGTGATGCTAGTAAGAGAGAATCCTCTGCTCGCAGAAGAAGCTGCTCTGAATAAGTGCTACAAGGTGATGGATCTGATTTGTGAGAAATGTATGAAACAGAGAGACATGAATGAAATCTTGGCTATGAAAATGCATTATATCAGCTGTATCTTTCAGAAATGCATCACCTTCTTAAAAGATGGAGAGAATAAACTGGATGCCCTGATCAAAAGGTACTGCTTTTATCATGTAGTAGATAATGTTTTACTCTGTGATGGCTGGTTGCGAATTCAACAATAAAGCATTTAGCGGCAATTGACATTATTGGGGTCACATATAGTTTGTAAGAATCAAGAGCCAACATTATACTCAGATTGAGGCGTTTACTCAGTTTCATCCTCTGGAGGTTTTTAGTGATGAGGAATCCGGAGGTGTGGAGAAGCTGATTAAGCGTGTGTAAGATCACATGCCCGGAAAGTGGCCACAGGCCAGAAGGGAGAGCAGATACGCTGTGCTGTGGGTTGCTGCTCTGGGTTCATAAACCATTAATGGAGCTCTCTGTGATACCCAGGAGAGCTGTGTCTTAGCCTTTCCTGTGACCAACAGAGATTAAATTTGCTTGCAGTTCACTGAGAAAAAGGAACTAAATTAGAAGCCTGTGACCCAATGAGACTTTTCATCTTCCTACAAATAACAGAAAAGGTAATAAGTAACTAGCGAATCTGATAACAGCATGTAGCTTTTCATGGTGGGGGTCACCTTTAGCTGGATGGCCCAGGCCTTGGATACCTGCTCCGGCCTGGCCCGACATTCAGTTTTGGCAGCATTTTGGATTGAGTCCATCACCATTTGAAAACTCAATGAAAAAAATCTTAAAAAAGAAAGTACTAAAAGCTAACAGGGTTAGCTAAGAGGAAATGCTTAGCCAGTCAACCTAGTTACTCTTTAAAAATATCTTTCAGCTTGTTAAAAGGCCGAGCTTCTGATGGCTTTCCAGTGTATCAAGAAAAGATCATTAGAGAAAGTATCAGAAAATTTCCTTACTGTGAAGCCACACTCCTCCAGCAGCTGGTGCGAAGCATTGCTCCTGTTGAAATTGTAAGGCTCCTTTTAAGTTAACTCCGTCAGTAAGACTTCCTTACCATGTCATGTATTGTTAAAGACAAATTTTCTTGAGTTTTTCTATTCAAAACATTCAGGAGGAAAGTGGGAATAAAACCAGGCGTGGTGGCGCATGCCTGTAATCCCAGCAACTCAGGAGGCTGAGGCAGAAGGATTGTTGTGAGTTCGAGACCAGCCTGGGCTACAAAGTGGGCTCAAGGCCAGCCTGAACTGCATAATGAGGCTTAGTCTCAAAAAGACAAAAAAAAAAAGAAAGAAAGAAAAATGGGGATAGATTAACCTGCTGAACCTGTTTCTCCTTATTCTTTTCCTCTCTCATGAGCCTCTTAACATTTTTGTAGCTGTCAACTAGAAATAGTATTTCCGTAGTAGGAAGGTAGCAAAATATAAGAGTGATTTATCTGCTACAGAATGGTTTGGCTACCTTGTCAAACTCTATCAGTTATTCAACCTACACCCAAACACTTTTCAAAGGCTTACAGGTCATGTCTGGCACAGTGGCTTAGAATGGATTAGGGACAGGAGCGTGATGACCCCTCTAGGCTCACATTCCCATCCCACACAGGTAGGAGGAACCAAAGGGTCTCAACCTGGATGATACAAGCCCTCGCAGACACCCACTGCCTGGTCACCTGGCCACGCTCAGCTGTGCGGGACCTGGGGAAATGAGTATTTGGGGCTTGTTTACTCCCTGCTGCTTAGTGAGGAAGTGGGGTGGGTGTCAAAGCAGCAGCTAGCAGTGCCTGCTTTGGGGGTTTCCAGCGCTCACAAGTGCTAACTCACATGCCGCCACCATGGGAGAAAACAGAAAAACTGAAACTAGCAGCCCAGGGTTCTCAGAAACGGCTCGTGCAGTCACTGTGGGGGTGAGCAGTTCCCCTTAGCCCCCCAAGATGGAATAGTGGAAAGGTTTAGAGAGTATGAAGACTAAAGTTTATCCTGATCCAAGTCATCAAGAAAAGGCTTATAGTAAAGTTAAGGTAGTAGTTGATACAGTTTAGAAAGACTTCTTTTTTAAAGACTCTGTTCATTAAGAGTTACACATTCTGCTGTCTGGAAAGCATCTGGAGTGCTTATCCTTGAGTGTCCCAGAAGGTCATTGTTTACTGCTTAGAAGTTTTTGTGCGCTGTAGGTTTTAAGCCTTGGAAATGTGTTGCCCTTTGCCTGTAACACAGCGTTCTCAGGGCCGGCTGCAGTGAGGTCTGCTCTGCTGCTTTCTGAGGGTGCTAATGCCTGCACTCACGGGTGCATCTCTTCCTGATGTGGACTCTAGGTGAGCAAGAAGTGTGAAGCACCAGCTCGAGAAGTCGTGCTCCACTGGAGTACACCATTCAAGATGTTTTGCTCTATCTGCTGACAGTATGCATTCCAAGTTTCAGGAGAGCAGCTCACTTCCCTGATCTCATAGCTTACATGGAAAACATCCTGTCTGTTTCCAGGCTGTTATCTTTCCATGAGAGGAGCTCTGGCACTGAAGCTTTCTTGCTTTAAACAAGAAAGTTCTTATCCTACAACAGGGACAAAAAGAGTTCTGTGTGGTTAGTTGTGTGCATCACTGTTAAGGTTTTTTTCTGAAGCAAGAGTCACGCGCATGAACACTGTTGTCCTAGCAACAATGTCCTTTAGTTACAGCTTCAGGGCGGGGGTGTAACTAAGTTAGCAAATGGGAAGCCTTGGCTTCTATCCCTAGCACTAAAAAAAAAAAAAATCACTGTCGTTGACTCTCCCATAAACACCTGATGCTGGTAAAAATTCTAAACGTGTCTCAGGCAGTTGTGTGAAAAATATTTGAACATAAGAATATAATTTTTGTGATATCTGTTGAGTGTATCATATTCTATTGATTGGCCAGCCAGACTCCTATCCTATCCGGTATGCTCCTTTTTAGGCAAAATAATACAGATTTATGAACATTTAATGTATTAGTAATAGTTCTCAAACTTTAAAATGTCTTGGGATTGCCTGGGAATGTTGGCAACTATGCAATCTGGAAACCCCTTAAATATTCCATTTGAAAACATACGGGCTGAAGGGTTGGATTTGGGTTCTCTGAGGCACGTCAGCATCTGAGCAGAATTGCTGGAGACCTTCTTTCCTGATGAAATGAGTAGCCTCTGCTGTCTGAGGCTTCACTCCACCTCATTTTCCTTCTCAGTACATCATACTTAGTCTAAAAGAGAGTACTGAGCACCTTAGTATGAGAAGTTAGTATTACTGTTATTATCCGTGTATTCAGCAGCAGGATAGTTTCAAAATGAATTTTACTTCTTGAATAGTCTAGAATTTTCTTTGACTATCTTGAGTTTATAAAATAGCATACAATATTACTCCCAGGTATTTTCTAAAGCTCTTGTCTGTAGTTAGTAAGCTAATTATAAAAGTAAACATTCTTAGGAAAAAGAAGCAAAGACAAATGAAAATGAAGATTTCAAAAGTGACAAATTTTTGGTTGGGAATGCATGTGTAAATTTGAAAAACTTGAAACAAAGAACTGTTAAGAGTAGATAAGAAAAATAGATATTCCGTAATTATTTTTGTTTACTCCAGATAGGTTTAAATAACACTACCTCAGGTAACTAACTAGTTACCCTTATAATTTTTACAAAATTTTATAAATCCTCTTTAATATTCTAACTTCAGTAGCCATATGATAATATTTTTCAGTGTTTTTCTTAATACTATGATGCAATTGGAATGTGTGTTTATTAAAAGGGAACATCTCAGTGATAAAGCTGATAATTTAACTGTTTGCATTGTAGACCAAAATCTAACAAATAATTTAAAATATAGGGTATTTAAAACACTTAAATGGCACCAGACTTTTACAAATTGAGGTAGTAAATGCTTCTGATATGCTGTATAATTATCCCGTAGTTACATGAATATTATCTTGATGTCAATTCTCAGAAAATTTTATTGTTTCTGAACAACGTTCTATCCTTTGGGTGACATCTCCGTGGTCTTCCATGGTGATTCAGAGGGTTTTCTCTTCTTCTTACCGCTCTAGGGTTCGGACCCCACTGCATTCTCTGTGCTTACCCAGGCCATCACTGGGCAGGTGGGCTTTGTGGATGTCGAATTTTGTTCCACCTGTGGAGAAAAGGGGGCAAGTAAGAGATGCTCAGTGTGCAAAATGGTAAGAATGGGGTTTGTTTTTTGCCGACACCTGGTTAAGGTTGCATGTAAGCTGAGAATCGATTATAGTCTGTCAACATAAAGTTGATGTGGGTTTTTAAAATAAGTTCTAATGCATGAAAGGATTGCATCTAGCACTAAAAAAGCAGTAAGAGAAGAGAAGGAAAAATGTAGTTCTGTGTCTTCTGCCAGACTCTCAGTGCATTTGCCACTTTCCTTTTGCTGGGAGAAAACAACCAATAATTTAAGAGGGGAGGTTTATTTTTGCTCACAGTTGTAGTGGGTTCAGTCCCTGGCTGGCTGTCTGCTCGGCAGAAGTGACACGCCGAGTGCCATGGCAGGGGAAAGCTGTTCATCACAGGGGCCAGGAAGGAGAGGGAAGGGAGGAGCTAGGAACAAGAGGGCACACATTCAAGTCCCCCCACCAGGGACACACCTCCAAGCTGGGTGCCTTCTAATGACTCATTCAGTTACTAAACTCAGCAATGAATCCCTCCATGATCCAGTCACCTTCCACATGTGTGCTCTGGAGGCGGCACATTTTATATCTGAGCCGTAACACCCAGTTTGTGTCTCCTCCATGGGAAGGGTGTTTGGTGAGCATGAGGAGCCAGGAGAGTCATTGGAGGCCAAGAGGACTGAAACTGAGCCAGATAGGAAAATGTAGATTAGGATAATTCGTTGCTATCCAGTCAGTTCTTCTGATGGTGACTTTGGTCATCGGCCTGCCTGTTAAGTCTGTAACTTTTGAATGGCACCAAACTCTATTTCCTAGAAACTACACTGCCCACTCTGCCAGAATTATTTTTGTAAAGGGCTGTTGGAGCCATTGAAGCTGGATACACGTGCAGGGCTGTGGCATGGCCCGGGCATGGCTGAACTGAGAGCAAGGAGACACCTCAGGGGGCAAGAAGGCCACAGCTGAGGGCACCTAGAGAGTTACTTCTCGGATAGTTTTCCTTAATTAGCATCATCTGTTGCTTGGAGGGGTCCTTGAGGCCCTCCCAAGGTCCTGCTCAGGTTTCCTGCATTTTCACTCTAACCCCTTCCTTGTTTGAATACTAAATAAATATGGGCTGCCCACACACATCATGTCTCAGCCACCACAGTGAAGAACTCTGCAGAGGGTTTTGATCCTCCTGGAGCCCTAAAGATCATACCACCTGTTTCATTCATTTGGGCCTTTGCCATGTACTCGTTTGAGAGATTGGCAATCCAGATGCAGTAAGAGGCATGTCTTACTGTGTATATCTGCTCATATCCAGCTATTGCACACATGCCTGTACCTGTACATTCACTTCATCCTATGGGTAACATTAACCTCCTGTTGATTTTAAGGTTGAAATTCTCCAACATGTTAAATGAATCTCATCACAATCTGCCATCATCTACTTCTGCAGCTTCATCGCTTTTCATTTCTCACTTCTCTAGACATCAGGTTCCTCCTGTGGGAAATGGGGCTGGCGTGTGTGTTGGGTAACTACTGCTGTACATGCCAACACCGTCAGACCTGTGCCGAGGACCACAACGTCGTACTCTTCCCCCATGTGCTTGGCCGGCCTCAGCTCAGGCAGTGGGGCAGTGGAACATGTTCTCATGACAGTGGCAGGGGGGCGGGTTGGCAGCCAGACACACACAGGGCACCTGAGGCGCCCTGTGAGACCACTGTACCCCCGCGTCCTGTTGCTCTCATGAGTCAGGTGGCCAAAGCCAGTCAAATCTATTTGGTGCATAACACTGAGTTCACTTGGGAAAGTGTGTGAACGCATCAGTGAGTGAAGATTTGGAGCCAGTAATATAATTCCTAACACGCGCACACACACACCCCACCCCACTCCGGGCTTGGCATATTTTTAAGGAGTTTTACTCCCATTTCTTTGCCACCCCCACTTACAAAAATACAAACTCACTTATTATAAAAATTTACTACTCTACTTGTACATATTATTCACCTTTCTATTCCTTTATTTTGTTCAAGATATTCCCCCCACTGGAATTCTTCTCCCATGTTTCTGTCTGTTCTGATCCCCAGCTAGAGTGAGCCACGGCCTCCTCGCATTTGCCTTTGCTCTGCCATCCGACCTGTAGTGTGCTAACATTCGTGCTCTACTGTAAGCTGCACCGTTAGCCAAGTGGAGGCTTCCTCCAGTCATCCTAGCTAACTGGGAGCCTGAGGCAGGAGATTTGCAAGCTTAAGGACAACTTATGTAATTTAGTGAGAGTCTGCCTTATATAATACACAGAAAAGGCTAAGGATATGACTCAATGGTAGAGAACTTGCATAGCATGCATGAGGCCCTGGGTTCAATTTCCAGTTCTGCAAAATCAATAAATAAGGCATATTGTTAGATATCTGCCTCAATAAGGCATATTGTTAGATATCTGCCTCTCCCCTATTTTACCCTATTGTAGTCCTTCCTCATATTTCTTCTTTAAGGGACAACTGTGCCTTGTCATCTTATTGATCCAATTCTGGTACATAAGAGATTCTGAGCCACTCCTTGGTAGACTGTCTGTTGTATATCTATTACTGTTTTAAAGTATAAGCTGAAACGTGAAAATCCAAATCAGTACACAGTCACGCACCATGGTTTATAAGTGTGGAAATTTTAACATTTTTATAACATACTTGGCTTAATGTCAGAGTTGAAAAATCTGCACCAAAAGTTCTTGAAATGAAAATAAACTTAGAATTCCTTTCAGGTAATATATTGTGATCAAACATGCCAAAAAACACATTGGTTTGCCCATAAGAAAATCTGTAAGAATCTAAAAGATGTTTATGAGAAGCAACAATTGGAGGCCGCCAAAGAGAAGAGTGGAGAGGAGAAGGGTACGTAATAGCCCTGCCCGCTGCGAGTGGGCAGAGGCCCGGGCTGGAGCCTGCGTGTCCTCTGCAGGGGTGCATGGATGAGACTAACACTGAACACACAGGGACTGTTTTCTGGGGACCAAGAAAGTGCTGGGGTGACCGACATACATGTCACACTTATATATGTCCCCTTTTTTGAGTCCCTGAGATAATTCATAGACGTTAATCAGCATGAATATCACAAGAAAATGGAGACTCCCGAGGAGTGTGTTTTATCCCACATTCTGCACTCTCATTCAGGAGACTGCACTGGAGTGTGAGAAAGGGAATCCTAATGGGTGGCCGCTTACATCCTGCTCCATGAGAATGGTAAGGTCGTTGAATGAGGAAATAATTACATTTTCCCTAATAGCTACCCAAAGAAGATTCAAATGTTGGAAGCCTTCCGATTTGTTAACATTTCAGAACTACAGATGAGATTACGCAGTATATTTACAAGTTAGAGATTAGACTGCAAATGTAATGTGCAGATTCAGTTCCTGCACAGGTAAGAACAGTGAGCCCTGGCGTGCTCAGGCGACTCCTCTTCAGACACAGTGATTCTTACCGCGGAGAGGAGAGCACCCCCACCCCAGGGGATGTGCCTCGGCTTCTTGGAGGCCGTGTGTACTTTGAAAAACTGACCTTGGAGGCCGAGCCTGGGCACTTCAGCTGTACCCTTCAAAGGATCTTGTCTCCTTTACAACTTGGTGGAGAATTCATTCATAGTGTGGCTGGGTAATTTGTACCCAATTTAACCATTTCTCATTGAGAGGACAGCCAGACTTTGACTATTAAGGCTTCTGTTCTGTGAACTAAGCCTTTTTGTCCAGTGCTAAGGACAGAGTGGCAGCTGTTTGTATCCTAGCAAACCATCAGGAAAGAAGAGAAAGAACGGGGACTCCCAGTGAAGCTTCAGCCGTGTACCACACACCACTCTAGACGTTACAAACACCCTTTTCTTTCTTCAAAATGTAGGGTGGGCTCTACTGCTGAGACCATTTCATAGAACATGGTGAGGCAGGGAGTACAGGCAGTTACCTACACAGGACGCCAGGCTCATTGAAAGAGGGCTGTATCCAAACACAGATGTTGTCCTCAAGTCCCAGACAGTCATCTTGAGGTAGAGGGCTGGCTTTGGAGCAGAGGCCCGAGTCCTGGGTGCAGTGCGCATTCTGCTGTTGCACAAGCTGTGAAACTTGGAGCAAGGAATCACTCACTCCTCATCTTCTCCATTTGTAAACCAGGGAGGGTGATGATCTACCTTCGGTAATGAGAAAATTAAATGAGTTAATACGTGTGAAACGTGAAAGTGTCTGGCACATGGTAAGAACGAAATAACCTACTTTTATTTTCCTTTTCTGTCAGGCAACAAATTGGATGTCAACTCTAGTTGTGCTTATGAAGAGCAGCCAGGTGCCGAAGTGGGTGTCTCTCGAGAGGAGCCCAGTCCTGAAGCTTCTGTGGAAGGGGAGAAAGAGCCTGCTGGCAGCGAGGCTGGGCTGGGAAGTGCACAGGACGCACCTGCGGGTCCTCAGGTCCCTGAGGAGTAGCAGCGCAGCTGGTGCTCGTGTGGACGGTCCCCACCCTGGCAGGCGCCAGGGAGCTCACACACTGTCCACACCGCCTCGCCGCATCTGCATGGCTCCGGGTGGGACTGCACATTGCATAGGACAGAGGCTTCCAGCAAGGCTCTGCGGACCATGCCCTGATTTCCTGCTGATTTCTGTTCTATAATTGGACAAGCATTTCTATAGAAAAATGTTTCCTTTTAACATACAAGAAAAACATTTCTTAGGCTGAATTCCCTTTTTGAGGCTGGATTCCCAGCAGCTGTTCTCAAAGAAAATAAGTACAGACTTAGGGAACAAAAGGACAAACAGAAAAGGTTTGACAGAGATTTTTCAGGAAAGAAAAAATTTTATGGCCACAGAAATGAGTTATTTTTAAAAAATCATAACTTATATGTGAATAAAATGTATATCATAGCATTTATAGTAGTGAAGTTCTACTTACTAGGTGTGATGAATTGAAGAAAAGCTGTATGTTGAAAAAGTTCTTTGCCATTGCTCAGCCAAGTGCAGTTCTATGTGGGAAGTGTCCTGAGAAGTCTGAACTGTGTAGTTTCTGCAGTGAAGTTCCCTACAGCGTCTGTACCTTCAGAAATTCAGCTTCCTAGGAAGGAGCTAAGGCATCCAGTAGCTAAAGCTGTCTGAGCATGTGCCTGAGACACTCCTGTACACCACTGATTAAATGCTGGCCACACATGCTATATATATATAATTCTTAGGAAACTGTGCCATACTGTACCTGACAGATTTTATCTTCCTGCAAGCTTTTTATGGAACTCTTCCTGTCCAGAAACTGTGGTTTGTACCTGTTGTTTAGAGAATGTCCTGCCCTGTTTTTAGCGTATGTGATATTTGAACAGAGCTTGAATGTGATTTCTGAATATTGTGCTGTCTCAATGTTTCTTGTGTTGATTTTTAGATGACTCACACCTCGTGTAAGCAGCTCATCATGTTTTATAGTTTGTTGTTAAGAGGTTGCACATAAAGGGAATATAACAAAGGGAAATAGCAAATAATGCAGAAGTAAATATTATTTTAGTATCTGCAGTTGCAGATCAGAATGGCTAGAATTCTCACCTGACCCTGCTGATCATTTATTGGTTGATGTTGTAGTCCTGAGTATGAAATCCACAGGGAGGCTAACAGACTGGCAGGCTTCTGCTGGGACTTTTTACTGTCCACAGATGTTAGCGTTTCCATGTTGCAGGCTGTTAATCTCCAAAACTGGAATAAGTAATGCAAAAAGAATGCCCAGAAAACTCACTGTCACCATCCAGATCCCAGGGTCGCTAGCCAGCCTACCGGAACCAGCACCCTGTGTGGCCAAGAATGGGGTGAGCAGGAGGAGAAGCATGACAATGACATACACATGCACAGAAAATCATTACAAAACAGAGAACTCTGCTGTAAACCATGTTTGTGGGAGAGAGGCACCTGGGAGGACTCTTTTAATACTTAAAGGTGACTGACACTACAAGAGGTACTTTGATCAATAAATTTATTTTGCCAAGGGAATCTTGGCATAATAGATGAGTTCAAACAAAATCACCCATGGAATTCCCCCTTGGTTCACTGTTTTTTTGTTTTTGTTTTTGTTTTTGTTTTGGTATCAGGAATTGAACTCAGAGCCCTACACTTGCTAGGAAGTTGCTTGTTCCACTGAGCTATATCCACAGCCCTCAGCTCATTCTTAACACTAAATTCTCTCACAGACAGGGTGTGTGAGAAAATCAATGTACGGCGCTTGGGGCGAGGTGCTTGTTTGTAAGAAAGATGAGAATTGTAAGACGTAAGAATGTAGCCTGCTCAGAAATGGAACTCACAGTCCACACAATGACATGAGCCAGTTCCTTAAAATAAATGTACACTTGCATGTGTGCATCTGTGTGTTGTCTGCCTCTAATAACCCTAATACATCAGATATCTTGATGAGTTTGTTATTAAAAATGATCTACAGAGCTGGGGATTTAGCTCAGCAGTACAGCATCTGCCTGGCAAGTACAAGGCCCTGAGTTTGATCCCCAGTGCAAAAAAAAAAATCATATACTATGAGGCCTACTCAACAAATATTTCTCAGTTCTGGAAGCCAGAAGCCCAAGATCAGGTTGCCATCAGGATTGGGTTACTGGTGAGACACCTCTTCCCAAGTCACAGAGGACAGCTGTATCCTCACTTTGAAGAAGGTGAACAAACCCTCCAACCTCTTAAAAGGGACTGATCCCATTTGAGGGGCCTTACATTTATGACCCAGTTGCCTCCCAAGGACACCATGTAGGGATCTTATTTTAGTATATGAATTTAGACGGGACACACATTTAGTCCACATAAGTACAGTCCCTAAGGGGTACAGTCCCCTTAGGATATGATATATGTAACAGCTAACACATATTGAGTACTTAATTTAAGAAAGATCTTTGAGACTTTTGTGAAGTCATTGTTGATTGTTGAACAAGAGGAAATTGAAGCCTAGAGTGCTTGACTCACTTTTCCAAGTAACAAGTAATAGATGTAATGAAAGGTAACTAATAAGAGTTTTAGCCAGAACCTCTATACTTATGTATATTAGCATTTTGTTTACTAGTCATGCGACCTCCTGGTGGGTCCTGAAATAAATATGCTTTCACCTAAGCCAGTCTGAGTGTGTCTGTCATTTAAAGCAAAGAATCTAATTTAAAATGCTCTCACCGAATGGTGTGTTACATTTTGGAAGAGTTTTAGGTAACTTATGGGCTATGTCTTCTAGTTTGTGTTTATCCGAAATGGTATTTAATATAATGTTTCCCAATCATAAACAGTCGTTCATTATTGAATAAACACATCCAGTACTGAAGAATGCACTTGAAAGCAAATCTTTTTCCTCATGTAAGTGGGGCATGATTCCATTAGTTCTCTAAAATGAATAATAAGTGAAATCTTTCAGACTTTTTTCAAATTAGAGCAAGTCTCATTCTTTTCATAAAGACTATACTTTTTTAGTAGATAATCTAGAAAGCATAAAATCTCATCTTTAATTCATCACAGTCTAATTAAAATATACTGCTTATGCAATTTACGGACTAGCTTAAATCTGATCCCAAATATGCCATTTTCCCCATAAAGTGCATTGTGGCCACCCAGTATTACTGATATCTCTGCTTGTGTTCAGCTCAGGATGAGCAGCTTTGGTCAGTTACTTGGCCAGTGGTTGGCTGTCATTACTGGGCTGGGCGCAGGGGCATGTCTAGTACTGTTGCTTGAACAGTGACTGGTTCTCTGCTGCAGGTGGTATGGCCTTGCTAAGGAGCCTTGGGAAACAATGCCCTGACTCTCCTTTAGAACTTAAGAGAGATTCTGTACAGCACCATAGATCAGTGTGAGTTATGTGTGAGTTACCTTCTGCATCCAGGATGCAGCGGAAGGGGATGGGTTGATTCTTTCTACCACTATGGTATCATTCACAATCGCTTTTGACTCAGTCTCAGACACACTCGTATAAATCACAGACTCTGGCTGTGCACAGAATCCTAAGCACCCACAGGTGAAAGGATGTTACTGGGTTCTTGGTTGATTACATTTTCTAAGCTTTCATCTCTGTCTATTTTGATGTCAGTCCCACTATCACAGTGTGTTGTGCTCCCCACACAAGGATGGGATAGAGAGAGATGTCACTCTGCCTTGTATAAGCATTTAATCCAGCCCCTTAGTTGGGGGAACCAGCAAGGTGTTTGAGTTAACTTTAAATATCTAGGTTTTCCCCTCAGAGCCAGGTAATTTCCAACAGCTTGTCTGGTTTCCTTTTTCCCTTGGTATCCAGTGTCTGGCTAGGCCAAGTGCAGATTACTAGTTCATCTCCAGAACTGACAAATGTCTCCAGATGCAAGGAAAAACAGGTCCCTGGATAAATATAAATTATGGTAGAATGTTACACAGCACTGAGAATGACAGAATTCTTGCTACTAGCAAGAACATGGATACATTTTATAGTATAGAGAGAAACCAGATGTAAAATATTAATCTATTCTGATTTCATTTATGTGCTTTCTACATTAGGCAGGATTAATTTATTGACTAGAATTAGGACAGCAATTATTTTGGAAGAACAGTGACCAGTAACAGGAATGGGTGCTCTAGTGTTCTATTTCTGGATGATAGGTTCATGAACAGATGACCCTATTCATTTTTTGAAAATTTGTTAAACTGAACTCTTATGATCTTCATCCACTGCTATATACATATTTAACTTCAACAAAAACTTTATAAAGCCTACACTATAGGAATTTTTTCAGTATTGGTGTTTCTATGTATGTTTAAAAGATTCAAACTAGCAAAATAAGTATATAGTATGCTAACATAGCAAAATAAGTACATAAGTCACAAAGAAGTTTAATACACGGCTGAATACCAGTAGGATTTCTGGAAACACCAGGGCGTTATCTCAGTGTAATGGTGAGCATCCGTGTGGTTTCCAAGCCTTTCTCTTCAAAGTATTTTTCCTCTCGTGTGGGAACTGTGTCCCAGTTCATGCTGGTCCTAGTCATCACTGATCTCTTCAAGGACCTCACAAAAACAGCATCTTCTGGGTCATCAAACACAGTTCTACAAGGGTAGCAATTATGTCAGAAAAGAAAATCAATTTGAACAAGCTGAAATTTTTCTTTAAATAAATACTATATTTCTTGTATTTGTAGTTTAGTACCACTATTGAATAATTTGGAGACTCTACTGACAATGACTTTCAGGCTAAGTAACATTGCTATTGTACATAAGGTTTATGTTTCAAATAAAGTATCTGGATATATTTTGGGATCTGCTGTTAAATTTGACCAAAATGGTCTCATGCTCATGCATATACTTTTGAAAATGATGTTAAATGAGCTGATTAAAATATTTTTGTTATTATGTATACCAATATAACTAGTATATTCTATTATAAAGTTTTTGTTCATATTATACTTTATAAATTTGCATGGTAGTATTTTTCAACAAATCAAAGAATGTTGAAAAATGCAACTATTAAAATGACTTTTAAATTCATCAATATTCATGATTTCAAAATACCTCCCTTGGTTAATGAAGTGCTTGCTTTTGAAATGCAAATTTTAGTGAATATAAAATATGAATCTACATAATAATTGCTCTCACTGAATATATTTAGAGGAAAAGTAAACAAAGTCCCTCATTTGGGACAGCTAATAATTACTAAGTGTCTGTATGTGTTAAATCACCTTGACATTTATATTGAGTTATAATCAGCATGTAAAAACCTTGAAGATGTCAAATATAAATACATAGCTGGAACTCTTTATTACAGAAAAACAGCCATTTCCTCATCTTTTGAAGAACTAGTCATTTTGTAATTAATTAAAATCTATTTTAGAAAGCAGTGATAATTTAAGGAACAAGACAGTTACGAAGCAATCTAATAAAAGTAAAGATTTTTAAAAAAACACTTACTTGTCTACATTATCTGCAAATGCAAAATCTAAAACAAAAAATTCTAAATTAGTATTTTTCAAATGATTATTCTGCATTTAAAGATCAAAGGAACAAAGCTGTAATTTGTTTTTAAGCAATTTAGCCAAAATGCCTTGGTATCTAACCAAATCTGAAATTTTCTCTTAGTTATGGTGAGTTTTGCCTTAGGATCTGGGACAAATTTATCAATGCAATGCAAACCTCAAAACCCTGAGAACAACGCTTAATCAATTCAGTTACCAGTGGGATGCAAATAGGAATTTTTAAAATTAAGATGTGAGGTTCAGAGGTTGAACCTTTTGCTTCTGATGCACTTATAAATGGGACAATAATCCAAATGAGGAGAAATAGGGTCATTTTACTCACTTAGACTTTTGGCATTAACTTCAAACAAAGAGAATAAATCCTGCGAATCTGTCTTCCCTAGCTTTAGAGCTAAAGGACCCGGCCCGAGTGCCTGGCATTCTTATGGCCTTTTCCAGACTACCATTGCTTGCTTTCTCCTTTCCAGAAGGCCAGGCAGGAGGTGAAATTTACCAGCACCTGCTGGGCCACTGAAGGCCACTGAAATCCACTGCGTGAGCTCCCACCAGTTACACACAGCAAAGCACGTGGCCTCGGCCAGTCCATGGCCTTGTTCCCTGCACATGTGGCTGACCCAAGCCTTCCTGGCCTTTCTCTGATCTCCCTAATCTCTTTCTTTCTCTCCAGTTACCCTTCTGTGCTATCGAGCTAAAAGTGAAAAATACGAATTAAACACATTAGACATTTTGATATATATTGTGAAATAACCCCCCTAAGTATGCTAATCAACATTCCCATCACTTATTAGCTATCGTTTTTTTCTCCCGGGGTGGATGTGTAGTCATGAGAATATTTCACATCTATCTCTTTAGCATATTTCAAGTACAGTTAATTACAGTCACTTTATGTCACCAGAATTTCATCATTTTGCAGAACTGAAACTTTGTCCCCTTTGCCCAACATCTCATTTTTCTCTCTCACCAGGCCCCTGGCAACCAGCATTCTATCCTCTGCTTCAAAGAGTTTGCCCATTTTAGACTTGTACTCATCATATTATGCAGTATTTTCCCTTCTGTGTTTGGTTTATTTCACTTAACACAACGTTCTCCACATTTATCCATATTGATAGAGATGGCCGTGTTTCCTTGTGTTTTTTATTTTTAATTATAAACGGACACTTTTCTTATACAATGAATGTAAATGATAAGGAAACTAGTAGGTAAAAAGTGAACTCTTCCTTTCACTTTCCAATTCCTGTTTCAGAAGCATTGCTATAAAACACAGGGCCCATAGCTCAATGAACATGCAAGGCTCTGGGTTTGATTCCCAGCATACACACAAAAATCACTGTAAGGAGCTTTGTGCACATTTCTACCAATGTGTACACACATGTGTAACACACAGTTTTCTTTATTGACAATTTAAATTTTGTTACTACTCCACATTATATTACTGTGCAACACTTTTAAATATACCAATATATCATGGAATAATTTTAAAATGGAATTGTATATAATATACAAATGTGCCATAGTTTAATACTCCCCCCACAGATAACCATTGTTTGTATGACATTAGCCCTTACTTTAAAGTGTTGCTTTTATATACACATATTTTTTCTTTCTTTTTTGTCTGTAGAATCGCATCTGTAGGACGGCTTTCAAATTGAATTGCTGTGTCAAATGGTTTGGACTTTCACATATCGACAGCTAGTTTCACATGTTCTTACAAGAAAGTTGAATCAGTTTACGTTCTCATCAACATTAATCCTACTTTTTCCTCTCATTCTTAACATTTAAAAATTTTGTCTTATCTGTTGGATGAAAATGGTATCTCTATGTCTTTAGTTACTTTATTCTAGGATTTTTCAAATTCACATGCAAGAGTCCTTTCAAAATTTGAGTATTAACTTTTGCCTGTTACATGTTTCAAATACTTTTTCTAATCTTGTAGTTAATTTCATTTCTATGCTATGTCCTAATTTTTACTTCTATGGTTAAATCTCAGCATTTCTCTTTCATGGCTTCTAGATTTAGTGTGAAGCTTTGATTGGCCTCTACTGCTGGGTTATAGAAGTGGTTTCCTCCTGTACTTTAAAGTTTAATTTACACTTTAGAATTAATCTTTCTAGGAGATATTTTCATGTGTGTTGTTGTATTAGTCAGCTTTCCCATCACTGGAACAAAATATTCAACACCCACAATTTAAAGGAAGAGGGATTTAATTTTGTTCATGGTTTAGAAGGGCTCAGTCCATGGTTGGCTGGTTTTAAGGCAGAAATGGCTTGGTGGAAAGGCATAGTGGAAGAAAGTGGCTCACTCGGGGGCAGCCAGGAAGCAGAAAGAGAAGGGAAAAACTGGGGAGGGCCTCCAGAGCCATGTCCCCAGTGGCCCTTCTCCCCACCAGGCTCTACCTGGCTAAGCCTAGCACGTCTAGCTATGAATTCCTCAATGGGCTAATGAGTACTTAGCTATGGTGAGAATAGCATGGCTGTGCTGTGATGAGTATAGCACTCTTCAAAGCCCTACTCTGCACATACGAGACCACTGCGGGACATTCTGAACCTAAACCGTAACAGATGTCACCCTTACAAAGCAGCCTTAGTTTCTCTCTTTGGCTCAGGGCTGCTACAGGCACAATGAGGTGTGGGTGGGAGTTATCCTTTTCTAGGTAACTCTACACCTGGTGGAGTTCTGTTTGCCTCCATCAATTCTTCTGAATCTGACAACTCTCACAATTTCTCAGCTGTGTCTACCACTGACCTCCAGCACCTGCCTCAGGCTTCATGCATAAGTAGTACCATACTAGGTGTTCACTTTTCCAGGTAAGGCTCATATTAAAGCTACCCAGAGTCAGAGCTTTCAAGACCTGGCTTCCCGAGCTTCTGATTCTCCAGTTAAAACTTACATTTTCTCAGCATTCTGTCCTTCCTGGGGTTACACTGACCTCCTCTGTGATGTAATTGCCCTTTGTTTTCCATTTTGGGTTTGCCCTTCTCTCTTGCTAAGCAGCAAAGCCTCTCTGCCCAGGGCCTGGCCTCTGCAGCACTGATCCCCCTGGCACAGTACTGACAGCTCTGTCTTGTTCGCAGGGAAGAGCAAATGTGATGGAAATCTAGTAGTCTCACTTTGAGACCACTAGTAAACATTTAAAAAATTGATTCATTTCTCCATTGTAAATAGTCCATAATGTCTTTTTAAAGATTGAGAGTGTAGCAGTTTAGTTATTACGTGTAGACATTCAAAAAATCCAATGATAGGGTCAGATAAGAAAAATTAGAATAGCTCACCTAGATTCAGAGCTGATCCAAGAAGCTAAGCCAAGCTTAGATACACAAAGGTAAACTTAAGAAAGATAAAAATAAAAAGAGAGGCAAGGACCTTGTCTCCCAAGGAAGAGATATGCTAAGATAGTTCCTCTCTACCCCACACAGAGAAAACATTAGAAATGCAAGATAACTAAGTTCTTTTTGAACCATCTCTAAACAAATCCCCATGCCCTGCTTATCTATACAAAGGGAAGACAAGAAAGTATGTTGAACTTCTTCCTTTTTGGTGGGTATCCACCAAGAGTTTTTTCTTCTTATTTCTTATAAACACTCTCCTAAATTCATTCTTTGGTCCTCAAATTTATTCTTCAACTTTGGTAGATAAAGATCTTGGGTTTATACAAAACTATATAAATACTAATCGATGATTCCCCTAGAATTTTAAATCTAGCACATCGAGATTCATAGGAGGTAAGAGATTGAAGAGTGTTTGTTCTCTCCCGTTTTTCTCCATTTCATCATGATTGTATTCAGAGGTCGATGAGATAGATGCTGGGTTTGTTTTGCTTTGTTTTGACCAGGTAGCTTTATGCCTGTTCCCCACAGGTGAAGTTCTGGTTCTTTCCACTCTCTGCCCTTCCCCCAGGAAACAATGCAATTGACCTCTGCACTGCCTCCAGGGTGGATCTCCCCTGTGGATCACTACCTTGTGGCTGCTGGATTCCAGGACTCTCTAGTGACCTGCTTTCCATTGCTCCAGGATGACCAGTGTCCTCCTCCCTGTGAACATTCAGGCCTACTTTCTAACTGTCCCTTGTCAGCTGTTGTGTGGCCTTCATTTTCATGAGTTGGAGAACTGCTCTAGAGGATCCTCCAAAGGAGATGTGCATCTTCTGTCCCCAGGAATGACACTTTGTCACCCTACAAGATATTTTGTGGGTGGATGAGACATTGCAACACTTCCTATGTTTCGCAGTTATTTCCTCTGACTTACTCCTGGACCTCATTCTTTAAAACTGGTCTAGGTTTAATCTTCAAACTCTCAAAAAAAAAAAAGAATGAGAAACTATTAGCCCCAATTTGTCTGTCTTTCTGCCTTGGGATCAGGCTGGGAATGGGGGAATATCTGCATTCTCTTCTCTCTGTCCAGGAAATGGCTTGGGTGGGATGGGCTGATGGGCTTTTAAAACAGGGCCATCACAGCACAAATGACTCTATACATAGAACAGAAAGCAGTCTTAGGGATCCCGACTGAGTTTGATGGCAGCTTAGACAAAACAGGCGTAAGAGCCAAGAGCGATATCTCTCTGGCCAAACTTTCTCTGTAAAACATGTTGCTGGACGAGCAAGCAAGTTCTATATTCAGAGAAAACCTGAGGGCTGAGAAAAGAAAAGCCCGTTGCCAGTATGAATCAAGGGAATGTGAGCAAACAAGGTGTGGCTGCAGTAACAGTGGCAGTCCAGCCTGGTCCCAAGTCACCACAGCTGCCACTGGACGAGGTCAGGCTCAGAGAAAGAGACAGGGCCGGACATCTGTCTCTCCTGTGGTTTATCAGTGCTGGAAAGATCAGTGTGGAACTCAGCTTCCCCTCCTCTCCTTTGACCTTCAGGCACTGGGGTTTTTTCTACACCCCTACCTGGCTGAGTGCCCCAAGATGGGAAAAATAGTTGTCGAAGAAGCATACTTTTAATGGTGTAGCCAGAACAGTGACCTA